TGTGTGAGGAATGACTGCAGTTCTTTGCTTACTTCTTTGCCAAAGTACAAGGAGAGGGGTTACTGCTACTTAAAGCAATCTTGCCATGTCAATTCCTGGCTGAGACCTTGCCAGGCAATTCACTGACGACAAAGGCATTGGTTTATAGTTCTTATATGTGGAAATAAATATTTGTGATTCAGTCAGATCACTCATGGTAGCAGCACAAAAGACTGAATAAGAGTGAGATGTTTTGATAACCCTTCACTGGATTTCCTAGTAAGTTGCATGTGCTGTCTATGCAGTGTTGTCTTTCACAACTTGAGTGCTAAAGGGTTTCCTAATTTGCATGTAAAAATGAATTCTTTTGTCACTGGATATACTTTTCTTGGCCAAATGCATGCTCTTTCAGGCTTGTTTTCAAAATGGAACAGCTGTTTTGTGACTGTAACTATCAGAAAGCTGTCTGGAATAATTGCACTCTAGTAACTTCAGCATACTCATACCTGGCATGAAGCTCTTCAGAGATGTTTTTCATGCCTTCCCCTACTTCAGTAGAGGGTTTTCATTTCCTTTTTACACAAACTGACTTTACATGTGGAAATAAATGCCAAGCTTGGTAATCCCCCCCAGTGCCTGCCAAGATGCCTCTGGCAGGCTGTGTCCTGGGAGAGCCTGGTCCTGCCAGGCAGTCTGTACCCTCTGTGGCATCCCAGTGCCCTGCAAGTGTGGAGGGCTGTGACCGCCTGCTGTGTTGTTTGTTTCATGTAAATTTGCATTTTGAGGATGCTGTTATTGTTTGTTGAAAAATATTACTAAAAGTGTGTATTTGTCCCCTTATGGGGGGATAGGCAGATTTAAAGATAGCTCAAGTCTACATGTAACACCGTGCAGTACAGCTCCTTAGGGTAGACACCTATATGGAGCTTGGGGCAAGGGTTTGTGCCAAAGAGAGTGGTGAAACAGGAACAGTGTCTAGCTGCAGCTAGAATTCATTGTGGGTTTTTTGCAAACAGAGAGTTTTGTGGCTCACTCCCTTGGGGGTACTGGGCCACAGTGGTAACTTGGGGTCTGAGTAATTGCAGACAGCTTTCTGCTGCTAGGCCTAGGTCTTCATTGCACAGCTGGAGCCCTGGAGCTGGCACACTGATGCTCCTGGGGACTCTGGGCCTGTCACTCAACTGCTCAGAGCAACATATACATGCAACTCAGCCTATGGTAAGGGCTCTGGTGCTGCACTGAACATCTGTACCAGTGGGGCTCTTTGTGTGACCAAACCTGCTTCGCGCAGCAGGGACACCGTGGGTGGCTGCAGCGAAAATAGATATAGCTGAGCACATCCTGAAATGGAAATGGCACTTGGATGAACTTACTCCTCTGGGATCTGTGTTATACTTGCACGTTGACACTCCTGTGAGTTCGTGAAGGTCACTTCGGATTTATGTTATGAGACACAACTGGGACAAGTGTTCTAAGAAGTTGTTGTACCTAAATGTAGAAAATGAAGCATAGGTATTTCAAAGTGAATCAAATTAAAAGGTTAAAAAGAAATAAGCAGAAGTATTTGGTGGGCAGAAGCATTCTCTTCCCTCACTTAGCCTGGAAGAAACACTTACCTCCCATGCTATGCTTGATGGAACTCTGCCAGTAAAACTGGTGCAAGTTGTCACTTGCCTCTAAATAAAGTCACCGGAGCCTGCAGGAATTACATTAATATTTTTGTGATGTCTTACTAGCTAGAAGACTACAGTGCTCTTTCCTCATTTGGTTAATAATGCCCTCTGTAATGTTCCAAGGTAACTATAATTTAGTGCACTTTGCATTGTCTGTCCATACTCACTACAGACAGAGTAAAAAGGATTTTTTTTTTGTGCTCTTTGGTCAGGCACAGATTACTAAAAGCAAGCAAACAAAAAAACCCCAAACCAACCAAACAAAACCCCCCCCCAAATCCAACCACAAAATCAAACTGAACAACCAACCCCACTATCTCCCCAGAAAACCTCAAGAAAGACTGTCGTCTACAAAGGAAATCTAATTCTACATGGACTCTAAGTGCTATAATTACAGTTCTGCTGCACTTAAATAATTTTTAAGTGTCACATGCACCTAGAATTCTGTGATGCAGCAGAGACATGGAAGTAGAATCATTGAATAGTTAAGGTTGTAAAGGACCTTAAGATCATCTAGTACCAACCCCCCTGCCATGGGCAGGGACACCACACACGCTAGACCGTGTCACCCAAGGCTCTGTCCAACCTGGCCTAGATCACTGCCAGGGATGGAGTGTTCACTGCTTCCTTGGGCAGCCTGTTCCAGTGCCTCACCACTCACAGTAGAGAACTTCACCCTTATATCTAACCTAAACTTCACCTGTTTAAGTTTAAACTCATTGCCTCTTGTCCTATCACTACAATCCCTGATGAAAAGTCCCTCTCTGCCATCCAATCAGAGGCTGCTATGAGGTCTCCACGCAGCCTTCTCTTCTCCAGGCTGAACAGCCCCAACTTTCTCAACCTGTCTTCATACGGGAGGTGCTCCAGTCCCCTGATCATCCTCGTGGCCCTCCTCTGGACTTGTTCCAACAGTTCCATGTCCTTTTGATGTTGAACTGCACACAGTACTCCAAGTGAGGTCTCGTGAGAGCAGAGCAGAAGGGCAGGATCATACCCTTTGACTGGTCACACTCCTTTTGATACAGCCCAGCCTCTTCATCTGTAATTTTAAAAAATAGACCGTTGGCAAGTATGCTAAAAGGAAACATTTCCAATGTGAATCATACATTTATAAAAATAGCTTCCTGTTTTGTGACTGTCTGCAGACGTAACTGAGGCAGCCTACTTAGAACGCTTCATTGGCTGTGAGTGTAATACAGGTTCTTCTGCAGTTTCATGTCAATATAAAGGATGTTATTCATCTGCTCATCTTTGTCCATTTATATAGCTCAGCTTGCAAATCTATATGATTAGCACATCATTATCTTTCATCTTATTCCACAAAACTCAAGTAACATACCAGGATTCATAGTGAATCCTGAAATACTTGTGTAGGTGGAACTGCTTTGGATGCCATGAAAAGAGAATGACAATATCCTGTAAAGAACAGTAGATTATTTTTTGCTTGCCATACTGTAATTGCACATTGATTTTATACTTTCTTTGACTTAATGACTATAGGAGGAATCTGATGCAGCCCATGTTTTTTTCATTTGCATTATGTTGTAAAGTACAGTTTTGAAATCCTTGCTGTTAGCATTCCTCCGGAAGATGTAGGTGTGAAATGTCTACTCCAAACCAAATTCCATGGTTGGCCAGTGCTTGACTGGTTGGTCATCTGGATCAAGGACTTTTCAGTCTCTCATCATGGAAACTTTCGATAATGGATTTGCTTGGCTTGGTGATACAGCCTGGTATGATCAGATTTTTCCTGTTCCCTGTAATTTGAAAATGAAGTGCTTGGCAAAAAATTAATCATAACTTAACCTATTCCATAGAGAAAAATCCTATCCTCTGCCTTCACTTCTGTTTTAGTCATAGTCTAAGATATCATGTTCTTTATTCATTCGGTCGTGACTCCTGTAGAATTACTTTAAACTACATGACCTTTAGAATAAATGATTTTGAAGGTACTGAACCATTATTGATGTGTTTAAGTCTGTCTGTTAGTCAGTGTGTCTATGGACGTATTGCACTGGAATCCTCTGTGGACGTCCTTCTATCTTCCTGAGATGTACTCAAGAGATTTCTTAAGTCTGTCCATTAGTCAGTGTGTCTGTGAACATATTGCACCAGAATCCTCTGTGGAGGTCCTCCTACCATCCTGAGATGTACTCAAGGGATTTCCTTCTGATTCTCGCCTACAAAAGACTACTGCCACTTAAGTGGGATAAAGATGGAGCAATTAATCTTCTAAATCTGTCTTACCAGAATTCTTAGCCTGCTACATCTGTGGTGGTGGACAAAGCTGAAGGGTTAATAAAATGTTTTTCACAGCAGTTGCTTTTAGCACATGATACTGTGCTGATGAAGGTAAACCCAGAGGATGTTTTTTGGGAAAGTGAGGCAACGACAGGCACTGTATCTGGAATGTTCATTAGAGGCGATCAGTTTTACTTTCTTATAAGGACTGATCTCATGGGCTTTGTTTAGAGGGCAGCTGTTGCTTGCACTTAGACTAAATTGGGGAACTGCAATGTGCTCTGGGATCCAGGCTGGTCTGATTAAATACTTGATGTTGTATAGTGGTAGTGTGCTTTGATTATGCAGTATATCGCACAGGGTGCTGAATGTTGTTCAGTAGTTTAACTGGGAAGCTGGTTAGCGGAAATGCATGGCATCATTTGAACTATGTCAAAAGCCCAGGGATATGAAAGGAAATTGGTTGCAGTCATTTGCCTGCGCGCATTAAGAGGGCACTGCTGTAATTTACGGAGGCTCTGAATTAAAAAAAAAAAAACCACCCAAAACCCTTGCTCTTTTCTCTTGCCCAAAGACTTAAAAGCACTAAATCTGCCTGTTGGGGGACTGGTTTACATAGTTGGTGTTGTGGTGGTTTTTTTTTGTTTTGTTTTTTTTTTTTTCCCCCGCCCTGTTTTTATGAAGAATATGAACACTTTCTGTCAGGGGAATTGCCGAGGCTGGGTAATTTCTCTGGTGCCATTCAGTCCTGTGATAAGAGATCACAAGATTAGCTCAGACTGAAAAGTAACAGTTATTTTTGTTTTGAAGATTCCTTCCTGTCCAGTAGTCATACTAGCTTTATTTTCATGTCTTGAGTTAGTTGTTTACAAGAGTAGATAGCTTTCTTTGCTTCCTCTTCCTGCAGATAATTTTAGATACAGCAACCTTGTCAGTAGTAGTTCTTGTTTGATAATATCTCAAGCCTATAATAAGACTGTGTATTTGCCTCCTGTCTTGGAATGAGATGCAAGTCCCCTGATGCAGTGCTGTCCAGTGCATTTTTTTGTTATAAACTGTGGCCTGAGAACATACTAATACATGTTCCGTGTTTTTCTCCCTCAGATAAACTACTAGTTTTTACTGTAGCGACTAAAGAACCTGATGGCTTTCACCGTTTCATGCAAACTGCAAAGCACTTCAACTACACAGTAAAGGTATTGTATGTTTTCATACCAGATGTTCATACTACACAGCCTTTAAGACATTAACAGTGCAATAGTAACTGAAATTGCATTAGCTTCCTTGCATGCTGTGGCAAAATAAAACAACTACACAGCTCAGGGGCAGGTAGGGCACTTGTACGTGACCATGCTGCTCTCCCTGTTGCTTACCTGCTGGTTCCCATCTGAACAACCATGAGAGAGTGCTTCTTTCACTGTTTTAAAGATCAGTAGCTATCGTGATCGGTGTCCTCAGTCACTTAAATGTTCTGTCATGATTTACCATACAGCCTTGCTCTTCAGTGTGGCTGATTTTGTTTGAATTAATACTTCTGGAATCAGTACTGTTCTCAAAGGGCTTTGAATGTCTCCTTCCTCCTTAAACAAAGCCAGATCTCTGCTGTGGGGAAGGAGGATCCCAATTAAAAGTTTCTCTGTGTTTTCCAGGAACCTGTAATTCTCTGAGAGGACAAAATGTTTCTATCATTCTTGCTCCATATCTCCACGTCACATTCTGAGATTGGCCTCTGCATGACCTTGGGAAAAAGGGAGGGCACTAAACCTCTTCTAAACTTTCCCCACAAATTGGTCTGCAAGAGAAAATCCAGGAATTGGTGTTATAAATTTTTTCTGCTTACTTATGATGGTGTCTCCACCATAAATAGGAAATTATTTGAGTCTTTGAAGTTTGATTTGAACCGCTGAACTTGGGAGAATGAGAGAACCTTTCAGCCTGATAAGGCTGTACTGAGGCACCCAAGAAGCCTGAGCTCTGGGCATATCTATTTACTTTGCAGATTTGTCCAAAGCTTCATGCAGTGCGGATCTTCCAGGTTTTGATTTCCAAAAACATTATGTTCAAAACCCACAAAAAGTTTAAGTGTTTTTGTTACTTTTTGAGCTGTAATTTGCTATAGTGCTTGGCTAGGGAGGAGTTTTGTTTAGCTGATTTTGGCAACCACCAGAACCTATCCTTTCCATATGGGAAAGTGTTCTGGAGGGATCTGAGAAAGATTGGAGCTTGCGATTTGGATTAGTAATAACCTGATCCACCAAGCTCTCTTAATCTTCCTGTTCCCAAAGTGATTGCATTGACTTTTAAAAGTCTCACTCACTGCTTTTAATACAGCTTTTGAAACAATTATTAGTGTTTGTTTCTGTTGTGGGTCGTTTTTTTTTTTTCCCCATCTGAAGGAGACTCATTTGAATAAACGGTGGTAGCAGGCAATTGCTCAATTCTTACTTGGTTAAGAAATGTCTCATGTTTTTGCAGTGATGTCATTGTGCTGAATGCTGCTTCAGACATGGAAAACTTATGATGCTGGAAATGCTGCCTTGTTATGCTTTAATATGTTGCTTCTGCTTTAACATCTGTTTTCAATAAGGTCCTGCTTTAAAAAGCCTCTTGGTTTTGGGTACTAGCAAAAATGCTTTTTTTCCTTCTTCCAGGTACTTGGAAAAGGTGAAGAGTGGAAAGGTGGGGAGCTGCCTAATTCTATTGGTGGAGGGCAGAAAGTTCGGTTACTGAAAGAAGGCATAGAAAGCTATGCTGATCAGGAGGACTTGGTTGTAATGTTTGTTGAATGGTGAGCAAACCTGGCTTGTTTTCTTTACATTTTAGTTTGAGTAGGCATGCAAAAGTCGCTGCCTGACATGCTGAAAGTTGCATGCTGCTTTTCCCCCTTACTGTTTGCTTGAGAGAGTTTGCTTCCATTTTTCTTTATTTATAAAAATAGTAGGCTGCTCACAGTGCTGGAAATGTTGAGGGGCTGGAAGACTAGTTTTTGGGAGCTGACAGGCTTTTAGGCAAGCCTTTGTCCTCTCTGCTGCAGTGAGAGCTGGACGTGGCTGCAGGCTAGGAGTGTGGAATGACGGAGGGGAGCAAAAGCAGCTCAAGAAATAAAGTGGCTAGTAGGGACCAGAACATGATCTTGTTCCATGAAGTAACAGTGATATGGAGGAAGCTCAAAAATGGGGATCTGAGGAAAGCATTTAACAGGAAAGCTTCTTTTACATGTTAGAGGACTGAAACAAGAGGTGTGTTGCCAGATATATACCCCACTGGCTGCGTGATGGAAAGATGGGGCGACAGTGCTCCTGCAGGTGCCAGATTATAGCTCATAGAACAGCTATGCTTGAGCATCCTTACTGGAGGGCAGATGGGTTTCTCCCTGTCACAGAGAACAGGGAGCTCAAACGTGTTCAAATCCTACTTTTCCCATTGCTTTCCTCTGCTTCCCCTTTCCCTCCACCTCCTAATTGGTAAGTGGAAAAAGTATCTTTCTAAAAGTAAGTATTGCATGTTTGTTCACAGTGTGGTCTAACTGGTCATGCAATAACTGACACTTTTAAAATTAATTTGGGAGATAATTTTGTTCTTTACTAAATGAGATGAATCAGATATTTACTATTTACATTAAATGTCTTTGTTTTTGAATTTATTGTCCTGATTCATCACTGTTTTCTTCCTATATGGTAAAATGTGCAAATTTTTTAATCAAATTTGGGTATAGCTCAAATTCTTCTCCAACATAATTTATTCTCTTGAGGGACAGGCTGTCTTCTGGCATGGATGAGAGAATACAGAGGACCATGTGTGTTGAAGTGCAGATGCCATAATCTATTTTGTCATGAAAAATCACAGGATTTAAGACCACACAAGTTCTTGAGGTCTATAGTCCCAAGTACATATTGATTTAAAGTTGGTGGAACTGATTCCAGATAGAAAAAAAATAGGTTGCTGATTCTAGCCTTATGTTTTTATTCTCATGAGCTCTTTAATTTCTAAGAATCCTAGTTTGTAATTTTTAAATGTTGATCAATGTGTTTGTAACTTTGGGAAAGACAAATATAGTGAACTTCCTTTATTTTTCATGTGTTTTTTGTTATATTCATGGTGAAGCATTTGGAATATTAATCTTGGGGGCAGGGAGAGGAAATGTCTGTTTTACTTACTGTAACTAGGCAAGTAAGTTCTAGTGAACTGTTTACTTAAAGTTGGGTTCTTGCTTTTTTTTTTTTTTTGAGCAGTTTTTTATGTGGCTCACAATTCTGCAAAAAGTTTGTACAACTTCTGTTCGTAGCTTGTGTCTAGGTGCAGATAGCAAAATGCTTTGCCTGCAGATGGATTGCTATTTAAATTAGGCTTGTTTTTGCAAGAGCTAACTACTGGTTTTCTTTGGACCATTTCAGGTTGAACTGGCTAATGGCCAGTGTAGACTGGATAAAATGATTGATGCTTTGACTGTTCATCCAGAACTCTCACAGCCATCTGTTTGTGTTCTGGAAGATTTTTGAAGCCTCTGTTTTGTCTTGACCTTTTTTTTTTTTCTTCCTTCCCCTCTCCTTAAATATCTTTCAGAAAGTAAGAGATAACTACATTTTATACGTATCTCAAAGTGGTTGTCATGCCAGTGGGGATACAGTATAGATGACAGAATGGCTGTGTGGCTGAATAGTCCAATTAAATAAAATGAGATAAAGGACTTGAATTGCTGGTTACTAGTTATCCCTCTCCCACTTGTATTTTCAGCTCTTCGCTTGCAGCCCCAGTAGTAACAAGTCCTTGTTATAAAAGTTGTGGGTGAAAAAAATGCATTTACAGTTCCAGAGGACCTGAGCCACCTTTGACATTTTCTTGTGTTGTTGAGTGTGTAGCTGGGATGCTTTGCTACTGCAAGAGGAGGAGGGATGGGTGGATTCTAGCTTCAAACATCTGCCATCTGAGAGCTTCAGGAAATGGGACTGGAGTTGTGGAAACTTTGTTTTCTTTTTTCTCTCCCCCCCCCCCCTTTCTTCTTCTTGCTTTCAACTTAATCAGAAGGATTTATGAAGACTAAATAAAAAATTGTCTGAGCTTTTCCAGCTTGCCAAGGCAGCCTGCATTTTCCTGCAAAAATCCACATTTTTTTTTTCTTCCCTGTCAAATTTTGAAGCCCTGTTTAAAATAAGTCATGTTGAAGAGAACTGATCTGTAGCAAGTTCATCATCTTGTGTGTCTTAGTATAGGCTTTTTCCCTTTGTGTATAGCTAAAATATTTACAGTTTAAGATTGTCAGGCATTGAAACAGGCTGCCCAGGAAAGTGGTGGAATCACTGTCCCTGGAAGTGTTCAAAACCCATGTTTTGAACAAGGCCCTTAATGACACAATTTAGTGGTTGCCTTGGCAGTCCTGAGGTAACAGTTGGACTTGTAATATCAGAGGTCTTTTCCAGCCTAGCTGATTTTGTGATTCTTTGTGAATCACTCATAGTAACAGTATAAATTGTCAAGGGTAGTCCTGGAACACGTTTTGTGATGGATTTAATGGTTTAGACCTGCGTCCATGCAGGATTCTTACTCCTGCATAATATCCATTAGTGTGTAAAGTTTACAATAATTGCTAATGCAGCTTAATAGCTCTGTACTGTGTTTCTGTTACAGACTGTGCTCTATTAGGTAGTGTATCCCTTTCACAAGCAGATCCTGTGGCTAGCACAGCACTTTGCTCAACTTTGGCTTTCTTTTACAGAATGACAGTCCTTGGAAGCAATATACCAGCTGTAAGTCATTGCAGCAGCAGCGCTAAGCTGATCAAAGAGGAGAAGCACAGCCTGCCATAAGCTATTAAGTTAAAGCCTCAGACAGATTTCTGGTTTTGTCTGTTTTTGACTTGTCTCCTATTTCTTGCTTGTTCTTCAGGCTTATTCTGGCTTTGAATCAGGTTAGACCAATTGAATGGAAAAAGGGAGGGAAGTGTATTCCTGTATATTTGGGCAGACACAGGCAGTTTTTGCAAAACTGGGGAAGCTTCAAAATGCACAATATTTTTCTGTACATTCTTCTGCCAAAGTTACAGGAAAACATAGCAGTGAGTTTTCAGAAACCCACTTTCTTTATATAGACTACATAACACGCTTCCTCTCTAGGATTCATTCTTTTCTCTGCGGTGGAAATGTTCTTTTGCATTTGTAAGTCAGGTGGTGTTGAGTTCTCCCAGACCAATTGCATGAAATTCCCTTTGAAGAAAAGCCATTTTAAGTAATTTCAAAACTGTAGTAAAGAAGTACCAGAAGTCAATAATAGTTGGTCTGTTGGCACTATTGCTGGCTAACAAATTGCAGTGCAAAAAGTTCTGTGTACTGCAGGTGAAGGTACTGCTGTCTTCCTTAGTCCAGCTGAAAGACTTTGCAAGGACAAAATCTTGGTCAGGGTTAGATCTTTCAGTTATTGGTTGCTGTACCATTCCTTTGCCCTCTGTCAGGGCTTATGATTTTTAGTTCATAAGGTAGATGTGTGGAATAAGATGAATATACCTGCATTCAGATGAGGAAGCTGTGGGGCTGAGATGCTGCCATTCAATTTAAATATTCTGCTTCCTCAGCCAGGGTCTAATCTGGGACATAATTCCAGTATTACTTGTCATGGTTTCATGTTTTGTAAAATGAACCTTGAAGTGGTTTTCATATTAATGCTTTTATATGTAGATCTTAAGCACAAAGAAATGAACTTTATACTCTGAATAATTTAATAATTTATGCATACTTTGAGGTTTTGTGTTATCTCTTCAGTCTCCCATCCCTCAAGACCCATTGATTTAGATGTTTCAACAAGAAGAAACCGCAAGGCTTGTGATACTACATTCTTACATGACCTTTGCCAAACCCATGCATGTTTGTTTCTGTTTTGAGGTGATGTTGACCTTTGGCTATGGGTAACTGCTGTTTTTATAGATGAGCCCTCCAACTTAGGTCTTTGTCCTCAATAGGAGGCGAGAGTCAAATCTGACAAACACATAAAGGCAGGTGGAGTTTTTTATAAATACTTGTAAAGTTTAAAGCCTCCTGAAGACTTCAGCACATTAAAGAGGTTGAAGGAGAAAGCTGTATATTGACAGAACACGGTTTAAGTTTATGAGCAACTAGACTTTATTAAGAAATATCTAGGTACATTCTTGATAAGACTTTTCAGAAGAAAGTGCTATTGTGTTTTAGAACAAGATCGTCAAGTCTCTGAGTGAGAGATACCTAAATTATTTTTCAGTCCGACTGTACTTCATCTGCTGAGTTTTGACTTTTTTATTTTTTGTGGTAGTTGTTCGTGAACACATAAAAAGTTTTCCAAAGGAAAACATAATGTTTTGGTTTTTTTTTTACTTGAAATACATGATATGTGAAAATCGATTTCAGGTTGCCTAAATATGAAGGAGAAAGAATGTCCAAAATGTGTAAGGTTTAAAAATACATGGTGGTAAAACATGATTAGTGTAATTTTTCAGACTCCAAGGGCTGTTTGTACGATTTAAAAAACATGAATAGTCTAACCACTTGTTACTTTGAACTCAGAAGTATTAAGATTAAACTAGTGTAATGGGTATCTTTTCTTTGTTTTCAGTTATGATGTTATTTTTGCGGGGAGTCCTGAAGAACTGTTAAAGAAATTTCAGGAAACTAATCATAAAGTGGTGTTTGCAGCAGATGGACTAATTTGGCCGGATAAAAGGCTAGCTGACAAGTATCCTGTTGTCCGGAGTGGAAAACGATTCCTGAACTCAGGAGGCAAGTGCGATTCTTGAATATAATGAGTCGTGGAACTTCAGCATGACTTGTTTCTGTCACCTGTTTTATATATTTGCATGGGAAACTGTTCCTGAATTCTCCAAGTGTAAAATTGAGGACTAGATTTGCTAGCCTCCTCTTTGCTGTCTTCCTCCCCAGTGAAATAGCTCCTCTTCTGTGCTCAAGAACAGTTTTCATTCAAACTTACTAGACTTTGCTGTCAATAACTTGTAAAAAGCAGGTAAATAAAGTGATGGCCGAGCAAGCAACTGTGTCTTGCGATGAAGTGCTGTACAGGGGTGACCCAACTGACACTGATTGAATCCACTTCAGAAGCAATCCAATGTGTAAGTGCGGTCAAAGCAGTACATGGCATTTATAGGCACAGTTTAGCTGCATCACAGGGTTTCCTGACCTGTCTGCCTTGTTCCTGGTGATATGTGCATACATTGTAGATGTGCTGGTAGCTCTGCCTGGCCCATCAGCATGGCTGAGGCAGTTTTTTCCAAGAGAAATGCTAGTTACACCTGTTAATCTCAATGATGTGTTAATTCTGGAATCCTCCTTGATTTAAATGTGAGCTTTGGTAATAATTTTGCAGTTGATTAATACATGCGCTAACACTGATACTGTTTAACTGCTGCAGAGCACAGCGTATGCCACTTCCTAGGTACATGGACAAGGTGCAGATCTGGGAATGTCCCCGTTTCTTTCCCTCCCTTCTTTATCTCACCTATCTGCATGTTGCTTATTTTTGCTTAGGCTTTGTTGTTGTTGTGTGTTGTTTTTTTTTGTGTAGGTTTTTTTTGTTGTTGTTGTTGCTGTTTTGGCTTAAACATAATGTATATTGGTTTTGAGGTGAATTCTCTGTAGTTCTGGCTTAGATTTAGGTTCCTCTGCCAGCAAGAAGTGATTAATGAAAATGAAACTTTTTTTCCACATATGGGATCTTGGGGATAATGGTAATGTAATCTAATGCTTTGGTGCTCTCGGGCCATCCAAAACGGATATCTGTTTCCTACTTTTTCACTTAAAATAGCGTTTGTGTAAAAATAACCCTTAATTGTGAATTCTTTAAAACGGAAGCAATACATATGACAGGAAGAAAACTGGATTTTGAGCCAATTTGTATGAATTTCATACTTCTCCTTTGCTAGCACCAAACAGTAAGAATGAAGTTCCCGACTGGCGGATAACATTGGCAGAATAGTGCTTTTTATGGAAATAACTTGTGTGTGTGATATTGCAGGATTTATTGGTTATGCTCCATATATAAATCGTATCGTGCAGCAATGGAATCTCCAGGATAATGATGATGACCAGCTGTTTTACACTAAAATCTATGTTGACCCATTGGCAAGGGTAGGTAGTGACTGGCTTTCTCATTTGTTTCTGCTTGAAATAACATGCTGCTCCTCATAAAAAATCAGGAGACAAAAATAAAAGGAGTGCTGCCTCTTTATTCCTGGGTGCCATATTGACAGTTGTGTTTGTCCTCTGGAGGTTCCTCCTGTTGGAGTGATACACAGGCTTCCAAAGGGTCATGACTTGATATATTATTCAGGCTGTCTGCAGATCCAGGCAGGTTGTGCTTCGTTTTTAGAAATAATAGCTCTGAGGTATATGAGCTGGCACATTCATCTCAATGAGGGTCCCATGTACTTGGCAGTTTGACAGCTAGAGAATGTGGCATTTTGCCAGGGTGTCACTGAACTACTTGCTGATCCAGTGTTTTATATTTTGGCCTGCTGCCATTTCAGCTCCTGCCTGCAGCTGTCTCTGATTCTTCAGCTTTTTGTGCAGATACATTCAGTAAAGCTGCATCATAAATTTTTGGTGAAGACCTCTCTGTCCCCTAGCTTAACAAAGTTCTCTGCTGAGTAGGAGCATTAAAGCATGATAGATGTCAGAGCTATGGCGCTGATGCTGGAAAAAGGAAAGTTAACAATGTATTGATGCAGAAAAACCTTTAGAAGCTGATACTGCTGAATTTGAGGTTGATTTTGAGCATTTGTAAGCTTAAGGCAGATGTGAAGTTGCTGAATTGCATATATGTTTTTCCACTAAGTTATGCCTGAAACATCAGGCATGTTTAGATACAAGTGCAGAAATAGAGCAGAACATTTTAGTTGGAAAGGACCTGCAATGACGATCTAGTCCAAATGCCTGGCCAGTATGGGCTGACCAAAAGTTAAAGCATGTTGTGAAGGGCACTGTTCCTTAAAAACTTGACCCCAATGCTTGGGGCATTGATCACCTCTCTAGGAAGCCTGTTCCAGTGGTTGACCATCCTCTCGGTAAAGAAATGCTTCTTGAAAACCAGTTTAAACCTCCCCTGATGCAGATCTGAACCATTTCCATGTGTCCTATCCCTGCATCCCAGGGAGAAGAGTTCAGCACCTCTCTCTTCACTTTGTCTTCTCAGAAAATTGTAGAGAACAGTGAGGTCACCCCTCAGCCCCTTTTTCTTCAAACCAGATAAACCCAAAGTCCTTAGCTGCTCCTTGTAGGACATTTGTTTCAGTCCTTAATGTTTAAATTGATTTTATGCAAGTTAAGTCAGATGCTGCGTATTCAATTGAAAGGGCAGGGTGTAGAGACATTAAAGCTGACCAGAGTTAAAAGTAATATAATTACTTGTCTAAATAGATTGTCTTCTAGACAAAAAAATTGTACTTCACAGTACACTACTGCACTGTGATTCAAAATGCCTCCGTGGTGCTTAGCTTGGGATACTGCACTATACATCAGCACCAGTTCTCTGTACGGTATTGTCCAATGCTGTAACAAATTTTGGAAGACCAAACCAGAATATGTTACATATATAAGGGTTTTTAAGCATGTTTTAAAGGTTATGTACTTGTTGATCAACATGTTAAAACTTAAAACCATGATACTTTAAAGAAGAATCTAGGTAGGATTAATAATACTGTATTAGGAACATGTGCTAAAACCACTGGTGTTTTCTATTCTGACATGATACCTAGATTTGGCTTTTATATTTTTGAGACTATGAAACATAGTATGTTTTGTTGCTTGGCTAAGACTAGGCTTGCTAATTTATTTATTTTTTAGGATAAGACACAAATTTTCTTTGGCTTATATTCCCAAATTGTAGTTTCTTTGGAGAGTTATGACTTCTATCCTTTAAGTATAGATAAATCTTTTGCATTTATAAAACTGACTGCTATACAGTTACACAACTCAGAAATGAAGAAAAACTTAACAGTATAAAATTAATAATTATATCTGAGAGCTGAATATGTCAGTTTTGCCTGATTACTTGCTGCCACTGCAATGTAACTGCAACACTACTGTAAAAAACATTGGCTTTTAGAATGCTTCAGTAACTGTGAACTTTATTTCAGGAACGTTTTAACATTACTTTGGACCACAAATGTGCAATTTTCCAGACCCTAAATGGAGCTGTTGGTAAGTGTGTGATTTGCATGTTGTGTGTTATATTAAATGTCATTAACACTTCCTTTGCTTAACAATATTTATAATTCCCTAAGCATATGCTTGTTTTAATGAAATATTTGGATGGATAAACCTGGTTACCAGATCAGTTACAGGTCATTTGGGTTTAATATTAATTGATTTCTCCCTCTGATAAAATACTTGATTTAAAAACAGAAGATTTCAATAACTGAAGTAAACACAAAGTTAAGAACCATTTTTCCTTTTGCCGTTCACAGACTTAATTACAGGAGTAAGATTAGTAATGAAAATTGCATTTTAGGTATTCTAAAACAAATGACTATACATAATGACATGGAATGTGGAATAATGCAGGATTTCCTTTATTCAGCTGTCATGAATTTAAACTGAAGATGGCATCTGTGCAAACTTCCTTTCTTACATTTAAACTCTAAATATGAAAAAAGAGACCATACTTGAACTAACTATGATAATAACTATGATTCTCTATAAATATTATTTGCACAAAGTTAGTTAGTTTAAAGATCTAGTTAAAAAGAATGAACAAAAACTTCCAAATAAATAACATTGACAATGATAACAACACTGAAGTATATTGAACTTAACTCTGAAACTATAGCTTTTATTTATAAACTGTTACTACTGTATGATCTGTGATTTGCAGATGAAGTCCTTTTGAAGTTTGAAGAAGGAAAAGTAAGAGCAAGGAATTCAGTGTACGACACATTACCAATCACTATTCATGGAAATGGTCCAACTAAAGTGAGTGACAGTTTGTTTTACTTCTGTGCAAAGATGGCAACTTTAATAGAGGACTAAATAATGATGGAAGAGTCTGAAACAATCGTAGCACAACACCACTGCTCATTTCTAATTAAGAATTTCAAGGATAAACCCCCGCATTCTGATAGCTTTCTCCATCATGTTATTCTGCTGTCACTGTATCATTCTGCATCTTGTAGGTCCCCTTTAGGTACTGGAAGGCTGCTCTGAAGTCTCCCCAGAGCCTTCTTTTCTCTAGGCTGAACGAACCCAATTATCTCAGCCTGTCTCTATAGGAGAGATGCTCCAGCTTACTGATCATGTTTGTTGCCCTCCTCTGGACTTGCTCCAACCAGTCTGTGTTCCTCTTATGTTGGGGCCCCAGAGCTGAATGCAGGACTCCACATGGGGTCACACAAGAGTGGAGTAGAGGAGGAGAATCGCTTCTCTTGACCTACTGGTCATGCTTCTTTTGATGCAGCCCAACATCTGATTGGCTTTCTGGGCTTGCTGGGTCACATTGAGCTTCTTACTGACCAACATCCCAAGTCCTTCTCTGCAGGGCAGCTCTCAGTTCATTCTCCACCCAGCCTGTATTTTTGCTTGGGATTACTCCAGCCCACATGCAGGACCTTGCGTTTGACTTTATTGAACTTCATGAGATTTGTACTGGCTCATTTCTCAAGCATGTCGAGGTCCCTTTGGATAGCATCTCTTCCGTCCAGCATGTTGACTGCACCACACAGCTTGCTGTCATCAGCAGCTTCCCTGAGGGTGTACTCAATCCCACTGTCCATGTCATGGACAAAGATGTTGAACTGTGCTGGTCCCAGTACTGACACCTGAGGAATGCCACTCATCACTTGTTTCCACTCAGGCGTAAGGCCATTAACTACAACTCTTTGAGTGCAACCATCTAGCCAGTTTATTATCCAATGAGTGGTATATCTATCAGATTCTTGTCTCTCCAGTTTAGAGACAAGGATGTTGTGTTGTAACTTGATATCATGCTGAAACAACTAATTCTGCTCCCAGATTCATTGTAGTATGGGATATTAGAAAACAGTAAGCCTATGTTAATATGTTCACTGTCACAAAACATTTTTTGAACCTAGTGAAGAATGTTTATCTGATTATTAAACAGTAATCAGAAGAATAGGTTTTTAGGGGGAGAAAAGTCTAATCAAGAGTGACAGGCTGGGGCATGAAACAGTAGCACATCTGATCCTACCACAGACTTTGGTGTGTGTTTGTATATTCATATTTAGAAAATGTATGTAGGCAAAAAAAAAAAGTGTAAAAACAAAGTATAATGTATATACACACCTGTGGCTGGCTTTTTGCATCTCCAGTGTCATTGGTCACACTGCTCGCAATACACCCATGACTCATGAACTTTGGTTTCACGGTAGAGCACCATCTGCCCTGTGAAGTAGCTGTTCTGACAGATTCTGTGTCAGGATTCAGTGGTACAGAGCAACTGGCACAGTTATTATATGGCAAAGAAGTGTAAAGGCGTATCATTTGTAATAGCCTCTGTTGGCTGAAGGATTGGGAATGGGTACTTCCTGACTTCTTCTGAATACATGTTCCTTACTGTAGCTCCTTATTTTCAGAGGGAAAAGTTCTTCTCACCCAGGAGAATGAAATAAAAGTTTAAAACTCATTAATATCCCAGTGGCTGCTGCTTCATAGTTTTTTTGCACTCTATTTCATCTCTGGAATTAGAGAATATAATGATGCCATTATCTGTTTGGCTTACTACTACTCAGTAGTGGTGAAATGTATGATCAATTTCTTCCATGTTGCTGTAGTTATTTTTGCTTCAATTAAATCTTCAAATTATCTATCATCTCTGGCTTTGCTGACACTTTGCCAATGAAAAGAAAGGTACTGTATTTTATAGCTGGGCAAGCAGTTTAGGTTGGAACTCCTTATACTAGTCCATGAGTTACGCCACATTAAACAAAACTCCATTTCTGCATATATTCATGTTTTAAAAACAAAGAGGGAACTCTTGCTATATATATCACTTTGTCATCATGAGTAAATTATTTTGTTTTAAACATAGAATTAAGAGGAAAATAGTATAATAGGATTAGAAAAAGTTTTCACTAGTTGGTAAATAAAGTACCATTAAAGTAATTCCCAAAATTAACTCCAAGTTTTTCGTTTATAAGAACTTTCTCTTTTGTATTTTCTGTCTTCAGTTTGCAGATTACTAAATAGCATTGGTCAGAGACATTTCTTTGAAATGGATACTAAACTATCCCAACATGCAATATTTTTATTCTTTTCTTTTTCCTCAGGTGCAATGGTGTTTATTTTTTTTGTAAAATACTAATTTTTATGGAGTTTGTGAAATTAAGTGCAAGCAATTCTGTTTATAATCTGTCTAGAATGATATTCAGTATGTGTGAGCAAGCACCCAGACAACGATAAAATGCAGATTGAGTCCTGGAATGTGTTTTCTGTGCAAAACTGTACTTTATCCTTCCATTTTTTTGAGGGCAGTAGAGCAGGAACGAATAGCAGCCTTCCCTCAGACAGCCTTTCCCTGGCATAAGAGATCCTTTAACCATTGCAAATGGCAGTAGAGAGGAGTGAAGTTCTGCACAAACTTTTCTATGGAATCCAGGAGGACAGGGAAGCCCAGGCAGCCCATTGACTTGTTTCAAAAGTACATACTTTGTTCAGTGCCAAATCAAAATGTGTGAAAAAGCTAGATGCTGCTTTAAAATGTATACCTCTGGTTGGCTTCTGAATCTTGGCATGGCTTGTCAGAAATGCATCATCTGGGCATCTGTCTTCTACATTTTTCTATGTGTTTTTCATATGTCTGTGTTTTGTGTAGTGTTGGTGATTCTCAGCTTTGGGAAAAGAATTTCTCCTTGAAATTATGCCTAGTGGCTTTTGAGAGCTGTAGTCTGTATCTTGGAAGTCATACAAGGGTTTAGTTAGTAGTAGTTATACTTGCAATAAATTTCTGGTTTAACTGAAGCAATAAATGTAGATGCTAGAAGAATATAGTTTTTGTTTTGTAAATAAAAGAAGAAAGTCTTCTAGCAGCTAATTTTGTATGCTTGCTTGTTGTTGGTTTTTCTAGGGGTGTCTGTTTTTTGTTTTCTTTTAATCTTAAATTTCATAAGCCAAAACAATAAATTGCTTTTATGTATAAGAGATTCAGTGAGTAGGCCTGAACTCTTTTAATAAATCACCATGTGCATGCACCTTTAATTGATCTGAATTTTTCATTTATTTACCAGATTCACTTGAATTATTTGGGAAACTATATTCCTAACGCTTGGACACGGGAAACTGGTTGCAGTATTTGTGATTTAGACTTACTAGACCTGTCAACAGTAACGGTAAGAATAATTTTCACTAAAACAAAACCCCTTTTGAATGCAGTTGATAGGTGTATAGTGATTTCTATGAAGCAAAGTGGCTTCACTATGCCGTATTATGTTTTGCGGACTCATCAGAATATTTTTACTGCTATATGAAACTATAAAGATGGAATTTTAATGTACTTGAAATACCAGTACTTTTAGGAATGATTTTATGCATGCACTTTGATATGGACTTCCCCAGTATAACGAAAGATGATCCCATCCCCAAAAGCCCGCAGATCCTTACCTCTGTTCACTGGGGGTAAATGAATAACTTTTTGAATTGTGCAAAATCTAAGCAAGTAATTAGAATTTTTGGGAGGTAGGAAAACTTTTTAGGTATTTCAGATTTTCAACTGTAGACCTACAAAAAACTTGATATGCATCATATGCATCGGTTTTACAGGTTTTTTTACAAATAGAAGTTAACTGTAACATGGCTGAAGTTACTGTTTTCTAAAAGATTACTTTTCTTCATAAGGAATGGTACAGATACCTGTACTGTATATACAAATGTATTTATGTAGAACTAAATTGATGCATTTAAGATCATATATTAGTTCAGCCTTCAGAATTCTTATAGGACAGACATGCATGTACACGTGGTGTGTGTAAATTTGGGAACTTCAGTTCTTTGGCACTAAGCATGATGTCTTTAGTGTCTTTATGAATATTTCAGCTTATACTCAGTAAATATTAGGCAGACTAAATAACCATGTATAAATGTTAGGCTTGTACTTAAAAGAATACTCTGATTATTCTAAATAGGCTGGTTCTAGCAGCTGTTTAATTTCTGTTCTGTATTGAAGATTTGAATATGAACAGGTCTTAAGGTAGAGTTGAGGATAGCATGAAATGAGTAGTAGCTTACCTTTGTAATGAAAGGACAAAGCAAAAGAATTTCTGGACAGTAAGTAGCTTATGGACTAGAACATAAATTTGAAAAGTTATTGCTGGAATTGTAATAACTTTCAGATTATTATTTGTTTTTAATTTTGCTTTGAACATACAATATTCATATGGTGTTGTATTGAAATAATGTTTGAACTGCCAGCGTAAAATTTACCTGAGGAAAACAAACTGAGTTCTTCCTCATGGTGCTGGTAATTAAGACGTGATTGGGGAGCAGTTAAATACTAAAGCTGGTAATAGGGAGTAACTTGCAATAATTTACTGGATAGCTTCCTATAGTTTATGTACATATACTTGGAATGTGTGTTCCTTACAGTAATACATTCCTTGTACTTCATGCCTCATTTCCTCTGCCATCAGAAATAACGAGGCTTTTCCTTGGCCTCAGTGTTTACTTCGGGCATTTTTAAGTACAGGCAGTATTTAGTTTTCTGAACGTGCTTTCTGTTTAGGCCTGGATAGTTCTTACTTAACAAATCTTCAGTGGAAAGAGCAATACTAGCTCTGTGCCTCTAATAGTTATTACCATACTGTTTTTTAACTTTCTGCATTGATACACCCATATCTGCATTGGTACACCTCATTTGACGAGATATCTCCAGAGAGGAGCCTTCAACACCAGAGCGAGGGGAGACCCCATGGCCAGGAGCCTCAGTTCTGAATGGCCCCAGCCACTGAGGGAGCCTCTAGCTGCGGCCAGGCCTTGCCCAGGAGCCCGCAGCTCTGCTAAGGCGAGCAGGGACTCGCAGAAGGGTGGCAGAATGGTCCACACCTCCCTGAGTGGGTAAAACTCACCCCAGAGAGCGTGGCGACGAGAGAGAGGTGCGAGGTGCGGCAGTCAGTGCAGGCAGGGAGAGGGCAGGCAGTGAGTGGGATGATGAGCACTTGCGTAAGGGCCAGGGACCAGCCTGTAAGCTTTGCTCTGGCTGCCCTGGCGGTGTCAGCGTTGGCACCAGAGCCGATGGGAGGGGAGGCTGCAGCGCAGAGCTCAGAGTGCAGAAGGTGCCTGCACTGGTCTGGTCAGGGGAGGGTGCACAACAGGCAGGGCTGCACTCGGTGCGCCCTGGTGGAGGTCCTCCTGCAGCAGGGGGCTGAGCTGGAGGAGACTTGTCAGTAGGCTAAAAGATGTCAGGGAAGCTGAGAGGCAGCAGGGCTGCTTGCTCCAGGCCCAAACTGTGCAGGGGCCACAAGCGTCCACCATAGCGCATACAGAAAACGAGGAGAGCGTTAATGAAAGAAGCTGGGAGCCAGAAATAACAAAAAAAAACACCCCAAAACCAACAAACCACGAAGGAGGAAGAGGACAGTTAAAGGCAAGTGGCTTACTCCAAAATCCAACATCCCCACCCAGAACCACTTTGCAGTTCTGCAGAGGACTAGTGAGGAAGCACTCACTGCACCAAATGAACAACCAGCAGAGCTGTTCACCAGCAACAGTAAAGATGATCACTGCTAGTGCTTCCAGGAGAAAGTGGCGGGTCATAGTAGTAGGTGACTCTGCTTTGAAAGGCACAAAGGCACTCATCATATTTCAGAAATCATGGCAGTCAGGTGAAGTTCCCGATGACTGGAAAAAGGGAAATATAACCCCCATTTTCAAGAAGTGGAAAATGGATGACCCAGGGAATTACAGACCAGTCAGTCTCACCTCTGTGCCTGTAAAATCTTGGAGCAGATTCTCCTGGAAGGCATGCTGAGGCACATGAAAAACAACAAGGTGCTTGGTGACAGCCAGCATGGCTTCACTAAGGCGAAATCCTGCCTGACCAATTTGGTGGCCTTTTGTGATAGGGCTACGGAACTGATGGACAGGGGTAGAGCAGTTGATGTCATCTACCTGGACTTGTGTAAAGCGTTCGACACTGTCCCACACGACATCCTTGTCTCTAAATTGGAGAGACATCAACTTGATGGATGGACCACTCGGTGGATAAAGAACTGGCTGGAGGGCCGCACGCAAAGAGTTGTGGTCAATGGCTCAATGTCCAGCTGGGGACCAGTAATGAGTGGTGTCCCTCGGGTTGGTGTTGGGACCGGTCTTGTTCAACATCTTTGTCGGTGACACGGACAGTGGGATTGAGTGCGCCCTCAGCAAGTTTGCCGATGACACCAAGCTGTGTGGTTTGGTTGATATGCTGGAGGGAAGGAATGCCATCCAGAGGGACCTCAACACGCTTGTGAGGTGGGCTGATGCCAACCTTATGAAGTTTAACCATGACAAGTGCAAGGTCCTGCACCTGGGTCGGAGCAATCCCAGGCACAGCTACAGGTTGTGCAGAGAAGAGATTCAGAGCAGCCTTGCGGAGAAGGACTTGGGGGTGTTGGTCGATGAGAAAATGAACATGAGCCGGCTTCAGTGTGCGCTCACAGCCCAGAAAGCCAACCGTATCCTGGGCTGCATCAAAAGGAGCGTGACCAACAGGTTGAAGGAGGTGACCCTGTCCCTCTACTCTGCTCTTGTGAGACCTCACCTGGAGTATTGTGTGCAGTTCTGGTGTCCTCAACGTAAAAAGGACATGGAACTGTTGGAACAAGTCTAGAGAAGGGCCACGAGGAAGATCAGGGGACTGGAGCACCTCCCATATGAAGATAGGCTGAGGAAGTTGTGGCTGTTCAGGCTGGAGAAGAGAAGGCTGCGTGGAGACCTCATAGCAGCCTTCCAGTATCTGAAGGGGGCCTATAGGGATGCTGGGGAGGGACTCTTCATTAGAGACTGTAGTGATAGGACAAGGGGTAACAGGTTAAAACTTAAATGGGAAGTTTAGGTTGGATATGTTATAAAAATTTAGCCTTGGCTATGATCTGATTTAATTATTTTATTACAACTGATTAATATCAAAAGGCAATAAGAAAGCAGCGCTGGGTGCGCCGGGAGTCTCTGCTCCGCCAACAACGTACACCAGGGTTTTTGGGGTACAGTCTCTTCTTGGTCCAGGTTTCAGTTCCTGGTTTTGAGTTTCAGCCAATCCTGTTGTCTTCTTTGCCCGAAACTCGATGTGGCTCCTTTTCATTTGTTTCTGTTCCGTTGCTGGGGTCTTCTCTCCAGGTAAAGAAACATACTGAAACTTCTCGGTAATACATTAACAAAAAGATGTCTATTACAAGCTTAACCACAATCTTAGACCCGTATATTTAACAGGATATGTCTCCTTGGTTACCTAACCCCCTTAAAGCATTCAAGCAGCTAAACAAAGCTAAAAGCGTTCCTTATTGTTTTAACAGTCTAAATGGTTAAAGAGGGGACTAGCTTATTCCCCTGTTTCTTCTTCTTTCCCATCATTACATTGACAGCAACATTTATTATAATCAAGGTCGTTTTTATACATTCCACGCATGGTACACTGGTCACAGGTGCATTGGTAACAATGATTCCTAAGTTCTTGATACGAATCATTCTCTTATTGTTTACAGATATAAGGAGGAAATTCTTTCCTGTTAGCGTGGTGAGGCACTGGAATGGGTTGCCCAGGGAGGTTGTGAATGCTCCATCCCTGGCAGTGTTCAAGGCCAGGTTGGACAAGGCCTTGGGTGATACAGTTTAGTGTGAGGTCTCCCGGCCCATGACAAGGGGGTTAGAACTTGATGATCTTAAGGTCCTTTCCAGCCGTAACTGTTCTGTGATTCTATGAATTGTGCTAAACCTGGCCTAATTGTTCTAGACTTGTCTCAGCTGAGCTGGAGTGGGCTGGGCTGGGCTGGGCTGGGCTGTAAAATGGGCTGAACTGGGTTAAATTGGGCCTGGGATATGCTGGACTGGACTGGACTGAGCTGGCCTAAAGTGTGCTACGTTTGGCTGGGAAAGGCTAAACTGGGCTGAAGTGTACTGTGCTGGGCTGTGTTGGGCTAAACCGGTCTGGAGTGGTCTAAATTGGGCTTAACTTTGCTACAGTGGTCTAGAGAGACATGAATTTTGCTAAACTAGGTTGAACTGGTGTAAACTGTGCTGGTCTGTGCTAAACTGGGCTAAGGTGGGCTGAAGAGGTCTAAGCTGTGCTGTTTTTTTAGTGTAGAGCCAAGTGGTTCACATTTTGGTGTACTGAAGGAGTGATACTAATCCCTGATTGTCCGTATAACCTTTGCACATCCAGCCAGAACTTGCTTCTCTTTGTCCTAGAGAATAAGGGGAAAATGGCTTAGAATTATAGAAATACACTACATAAATTATTGCAGCAGTTTTAGTATTGGTAGCACATGTGCATGTTCAGCTCAGTAAGCCCCATTGCATGTGCTGCTTTTCTCATTACTCAAAATCAGTGGTACCAGGTACCATGACACTGGCCTCACTGGAGTGGTTGCCAGAGCATATTGCAGAGAATACTTTTTTTCAAGACACATTAATGTACTTGTCTTTATAAGCTATTTTGAAGTTATTGGGCTGTCTGCATGAGTACATATTCGGTTCGCCAATGAAGTTGTGAATCGGAGGTAGTCAGCATAAACAGTGGTGCCTAATGTTTCTGATCTGGTGCACTTGCCAGTATCTTTCTGGATTTCTGATGTAGACAGTGACACCGTGAAATCTCAACAAGCACTGATGGTTTATCCAGACACTTTTCAAGTGGCTGTTGGCTTACTTAAGGAAAGCTAACTTGCAGCCTTTTATATTTCTCTCTGAGCTTTATAGTGGGTTAGACATTTATACTAAGTGTTTTAGAAGTGGAAAATTTTTTTGTTCAAGCAGTGCATTTCTTTTTGTAGGAGTGAAGCCTTTGAAGGTTAAATTTCTTTGGCATAATGTAATACTGTTAAAAAACAGAAGTGCTGTCTAGGTTTGTTTTAGTGGTCATGATGCCTGTATCAAGCGCATACAGACAGTGAATTAATACCACTTTTCAAAACATGTGAATTCACATTAAAATAAAGTGGATAAAACTTCAGTATCCTTGGATGCAAAGATAGAAGCTCTAGTTAATTCATCAAAGGTCTTGATTAAAATCAGTGAGTTGGGAAGTTACTCAGAGACCACTTGTAGTGGTCTGGGGGAAATAAATGTAAGTGTATAGAAAGGTATTGTCATCTTTGGCTTAAAGTACAGATGCATCATAGAATGGTTCCGGTTGGAAGGGATCTTACAGAACATCTAGTTCCAGCCTTCCTGCCATGGACAGAGACACCTCCCACAACATGAGATTTCTCAGAGCCCCTTCCAGCTTGGCCTTGAACACTGCCAGGGATGGGGCAGCCACAGCTGCTCTGGGCAACCTGTGCCAGTGCCTTACTATCCTCATAGTTAAGGAGCTTCTTCCTTATATCTAATCTAAATCTAGTTTCTTCCAGTTTAAAGCCATTCCTCCTTGTCCTATCCCTACCTGTCTTAATAAAAATTCCCTTTCCAGCTTGCGTCTAGACCCCCTTTAAGTGCCAAAGGATATGCTCTCCGTGGAGCCTTTCTCTTTTCCAGGTTGAGCAACAAAATATTTTGTGGTAGTTATGCTCAAACTATTTTTAAAAATGTGGTCTTAGGTACGTATGTTACATTTACAAGAAAATACAGGAATACTTTCAAAAAATTAATTGCCATGAAGTTCTAGGCATATTTACGTAAATACATTTTTTTACCATTTTAATAATTTTTAATGTAAGAATTTTTAAAACCATGATACACTGTTTTCTAGTTTCTGTTACTGGAATTCAGAGTTTTCTAGCAATAATGAATCAATTTGCTTATTTACTGAAGTCAGTAAAACTAAACAAAAGGCATACCATTTTTTAGATAGTTGGTTTTAACTGTTTCAAAGCTGTGTGGCCTAAGTTAGTACAACATGACATTAATTACTTTTTATTATGGCTAATCTTAAAAAGGAGGCAAGTCTTACAAGTCGCGTCAAATTTTTTCTTTTTCTTTCTTTTTTTAAGGACTATCCAAGAGTAAAAATTGGTGTTTTCATTGAGCAACCCACTCCTTTCCTACCTAAATTTTTAGACAGACTGTTGACTCTGGATTACCCAAAGGAGGCACTCAGTATCTTCATTCATAATAATGTAAGTATGCTGCTACCATTCTGCAAAGCTTCAGTTTTGGAAATTATGATATAAATGAAAGTGTGTGAAGAAATATAAACTGCATAGGAAGAGGGGATCTTTCAGAATTTACTATGCAGAAGTAGAAAAAATACACAAATTCTGGCAGTGCTTGCTGAAATCTATTTAAAGAAACTGCATAGATTCTTTCTCTTTTACTAATGAAAAAGATTGTATGTAAAAGTGTCCTGCTTCTGGGAGAAGTACTGATTGATGCAAATCAAGTAGTATAGGATAAGATAGTTCCAATTGGAAGGGACCTACAAAGGTCATCTAGGTCAACTGCCTGACCACTTCAGGACTGACCAAAGGTTTTATAGCATATTACTAATGACTGTTATCCAGTAAATGACATTGGATTTGCTTATTGATAGCCCTGTGCACTTCTGAAGTGGCATAAAAACCTCCTGTGTTCCACTGAGGTTGTAGGATAGGTTTTGAAGATTGTAAGATAAGTATCTTGAGAAAATATTGCATAAACAGCCTGTGAATCTTGAATCATTGGTCTGGAAGTACAGCTTTGATTTACATTGCTGATGTGTTGGGTTATTTTGCTAAAATTTTGGACACGAGCTTCATTTTAATGACATATGTTGGAATATCTTCAAATACTGTTTGCCATCTGTTTGTTTGGGATAGAATACAATGTGCTCTTGGACTCTGTGTTTATGATTTCACAGCAACTTGTACTTTTCACTATAAACAATGTTAACATGATTTCAGGAGGTTTACCATGAAAAGCACATCAAGAAATTCTGGGAAAAAGCCAAGAACATCATCAAAAATATAAAAATTGTTGGACCTGAAGAAAATCTCAGTCAAGCAGAAGCCCGGAACATGGGAATGTAAATACTAATTGATACATCTGTTACAATGATGCATACATTAACATCTTTATCATCTCATATATATTGTTTGCCTCTTAAGCACTAACAACTTTACATCTTAAGATACAAAAGTGGGAGCTTTTGTGGTAGAACAAGATCTAGATACAAGATATGAATTGTTGAGTATTTTATGGTTTCTGTCTAACATAAAAAGCTGTTGGCCATTGTGAAAACATCTCTGGTTTGAACTACTTCAATAGTCTGTCATTTGTCTTTTAATGAAAGCATAGACAATAGTAGACTACAAAGAAATAAGGTATGTCAGGTTTTTTTTACATTATAGTTAAACATCAATATTAAAAAATACGAGCATAAACTGTAAAGTTATTTTTTAAGAATGCTATTGAAATTAAATAGATGGTACAATACAATAAAATTTTATAAGAGGTTTGTATAGAAAATTGTATGTAGCAGTAATTTAAAAAGGAATGTGTAAGCAAGTGTAAATGTAAATAGAAATCCTAATTGCAATGTATCTTCTGAAAAAAAGTATTGAATTGGGTTTTACTTTTTTATCCAAAACCTTTTCAAATTAACTTATCTCACAGAGTGATTTCACAGAAGTACCTCTTGCATTGAACATGCATTTAATAATTGCACAGTTGTTGTCCTAGTCCCTCCTTTGTTTGTTTTTTTGTTTTTGTTTTCACTTTGGGATTTTTGTAATGATACTGCATTTCAGTAAAAAACATGGTTAAAGCTTGATCTGAATGTACAGGAGAGAATTGTATTTCTTTCTGCAGCTCAAGGAGACAGGAATATCCTTTGGAAGTGCTCTAGCAGAAAGAAGTTTCTGCTTTCTGGAGGGTGGGGGAAGAAAGGACTTGCAAAGGCAACTGACTTGATCTTTAGTTTTGCTTTTTTAATCTTTTATACCTTACACTTGCCAGGCTTAATCAGAACATTAGGAGTATGTAGCCTGTGTCAGATTGCCTGTCTGAAGGGTCTCTTTAGTGGCTGCAGGGCTGGCTACCACCAGAGTCGATCATGGCTCTTCCAGTATATCCATCAGACTGTGGAGTTTTACAGACCATGAAGACCTTGCTTGTGACTTTTGAGCAGGCTTCATTCTCACATAATTCTTCCACTCTCTTTTCTCCCAAATGTACCATGAGTGTCAGAGTGAAGAATTTAATTTCAAAAGGCCCTTTTCTTTAATATTAAGAGGTTAAGAGCATAGCATAGGCTGTTCATGGCATCAGTCAAAAAAAATGAAGGTCTAGTCCTGATTCCCCGTGGTGTTCATTGAAATTTGTTTGAATGGGGTTTTGTTGTGCTGAAGCCACTGGGAAACTTATATTTGGCTGAGATCCAAGCCTCTCCCCTAGCTTTTCTAGGATGTCCAGATGTCCAGTGTTAGTGTAGGCAGCCATTCACATATTTATAAATCCTTCTTTCTTTGTTTCTAATAATCTCTAGAGCAAATGTATCATGTTTGCAAACTTTTTGTAGTAGCGTATGTTACATGTAACTAAGGCAGAATTTCTGGAGTTGCCTTTTCCTCTTTGTTATGTAAACAGCATAAGGCATAGTCTTTAGTGTAGTTAATTTCTATACTGTTACTAAATGTCACTCAAAGATCTTTAAATCTGTCATATTTTGATGGAGCCTACTGATTTTAAGACATGACAGGTTTTGATATATCTTTGAACTGTGGATAAAAATTAGTAATTTGAATGTATATTTGCACAAAGTAATTTCAAATTCTGTTTCGTAAGGCAGGAGATAATCACACTTGTGTTGTGTTCCACTGGATACACTACGCTGTGATTTGCTATCCATTGTCTGGGTATCATTTGACCTGTACTGCTCCTGCTTTCAAAGGAATCTTTAATAAAGTTTCTGTCTTAAAGAGATACCTCATATTTTCTTTATACATTATGTATGACACATGTGGAATCAGATCTTGCCAGAATACTGATTCATCTAGAAAGTATGATCTTGTAGTAGGATCTTCAATGTGAACAATGTGGATATAGATTGATAGCTCCTTTCAATTTGACTGAAGCAGGTTGAGTTCATCTGCTGTTTACTTTGCACTACTGTTGTGCTTGGCTACTTTTGTAAACATTACAAACTTCTCTGGAACAGAAGTACAGGATATTCATGGCAAAGGTAGTTACTATAAAAAAATGACCTGCTTTCAACCCTTCAGCTTGCTTCCAATGTAATAACCTAATTTGCTTCTCACTAATACTGTGATTGGAACGACTTGTGAAGAGTGATTCTTCAAAGCTGTTTAATGGTTTGATGTACAAATATAGATATATTCAGTCTTCTGATTAATTTTCTCCTGCCTCTATCTGCATTATTGACTGATAGTTTTGTTCCATCTGCCTCAAACACTTGCTTTCCTTCTTTTTCCAAATTAGCTGATTTTAGCGTCACTGTGAATTTGCAGTTTATCTGAAGCAGCAAAACAGGCTAAGAGAGAAAAAAAGCCAAAACCCAACTCTTAGGCATTGAAGGCCTGTTTTATTTCCAGCAGAATACTTCTGAGTACATAATGCTGTTGTGTCAGTTTTCTTTCTTCTTACCTCTTTCCTCCCTGTCCCCCTCCATTTTGGCTCAATAAAAAGCGGTGACAAATCACAGTGAGGTTCTCAGTAAATGAGACTCTTTGATGTCAGTATAAATGTGAGAAAATAACTTTTTTTTTTTTTAATTTCACCCATAGCCATGCAGCAAGCCTCTGTCTACTTTTCTCATTCACACAAAGAATAATTGAAGCATTTACTTTCTTGCTTTGCCTTGACATGGAAAACTCCTGCACTTGTGAAAGTTGGATAAGCATTGGAAAGGACCCAAAATTGTGCAGTCAGCAAAACCTTATGATTCTGTTACTGCAAAAGATGGTCAGAGAAGCTGTCTAAGACTTGATTTTTGGAAAAGAGTTTTAGAAAGCAGGCATTCCTTATTGCAGTGCTGGGCACACATGAAAATAATTTCATGAAGGTGAGCCGCTTGGAGTCTACAAGCAGCATCTATATATCCAGCAACTTGCACATATTTACAACCTTTCTGGGAGATGCTTTACATATTCAGTAGATTTCCTGGAACTAATTATAATATCTGTATTTTAATTACACGTGCACTTCCTTGGTGAGTTGTAGTCTTGAGGGGTCTCTGGTGGTCGAGGATAGCCTCCGCTATCAGTATCCACTGATTGAACTCTGCTTGTGCATGTGCAAAAGACTCTTAAGAATTACTAAATAACTGTGTCCATGTTTTAGGTCAGTTTGTTCTGATTATTTTTCTGCCTTGAAGAACTGGTCCCGTCTGTCTTGGTCACTCGTTTCTTATCTTCAGAGGCTACCCTTGTTTTATATGTACCCCAAGGCCATACCGGCCCCTTTTGCTCTCAGCAGTGGTCCCAACTTACAACCTAACATTTTCGCTTACCATTAACTGAGTGGTTTTAATTTACAACTTAGCATTTTAGCTTACAATTCAATAATACTGGCAACCAGGAGTGCAATGCTTTTGTCAATGTGGGCTGAAACATAATAAAAAGGAATGAAAATAAAGCAGTGTAAAGCGAAGGAAAGTTTAGTTGCATGTTGTCCGAGTATTTTCTCTGCTCGTACATCACTTGAAACCCTAAAATAGCATTTCCATGTTGTGTTCCCTCCCTCCTCAGCTTGTCTACAAGGACTGTATTAGAGTTCTTACTGTTAGTTCTTTTTTGTTTAAAAAAAACAAGATTTTGCAAGTTTGCTTTTTTTTGAGATGAGATTTCAGCTAGCTGTTACAGAATTTGTTATGACAGAAAATGTAAATAACAATATGAAGTATATTCAGGCAATAACAGAAGGTGGGGAAATACAGGAATTTATTTCATTCACTTCTCTGTGGTTTTATTTATAGAAAGCTTGTTTTCCATAATCTTTTTTCCCCTGGTACTTACAGACTTCAGGGTGGGTTTGTTTTCTGGGGGGGAGGGTGGAGGGTGTTGTTTTTTTCCTTACTAATAGAGCTAGTTAGGAATTTTCCTGGACTTTATAAAAAATGACGGTTACCTCAACTTTTAGTGGGAATGCACATATTCTAGTGAAATTTTCCATTGAAAGCTTTCAGAGGTTTCGGGAAGAATAGTAGCAAGATCAGAATCAGTTATAGAGTTTATTGACCTCACTGTTGAATTTTGAGCTGAATTTGGGATCTCCTGTGTGTTTTATGAAAGACGATGTTAAGTCATTGTCTCTGAGCTCTCAGGGACTTGCCTTACTCAAAGGACTGGTTTCAGTCCTTTGAGTAAGGTAAGTATCTTGGCTATGGTTGAACGAAGGTCAGGGATTAAATCTCTGTCTCCCAGATGTCAAGTGATTTCTGTTGGGAGTCTTGGATTTTCTGGAGCTGCTTCTCCTGAACACGTGAGCAGTTTAAGGTTTCAGCCTCAGTTGGAGGAGGAATATTTTGAACTCTGAGTGTTGCAGAAGGAAAAAAAACTTTCCCACCCATATCTGTTTTCAGTAGCTTCCGGCTGTGGTAACTGTGGTAATAATACTTAAGCCCAAGATGCAAAACTAAACATTAGTGCTTTATCTGTTTTGTGGCTACATGTGTTTGTTTTTAGTGATTGTTGGTAAGAGTTTCTTTATACTATTGTGGCCATCTGGAGAGATGCAAAATGTAGCCCTAAACGGCAGGCCATATCACCCAGTCTTTGAGTGAGTGTTGCAGATTTGTATCTGGGTCACCTCTTCTTTCAGAGGTTTGTCAAGTAGAGCAAGTGCTTTCTCTTTGGGTTCATAGTCCCCATTTAGAATTGTATTTTCAAACTGTGAGGGATATAAAAATGATAAATGCATTAATTTAAAATTAAAACTATGTCTAAAAAGTAAAAATTTAAGTGACTTAAGGGTAAAGAAAGTGGGCAGACCATATGTCTTACTGCTATAAACAGATAGACCCTTGGAATATCTTCATGGAAAGTTTGATGAAGAGCAGTGACACTTTCCATTTTCAGATGAGGTCACTGTTCTAGATGGGCTTGTGGTTTGTAAGCAAGGTTAAACATTGCTCTGATTGCAGAATTCTTTAAACTGATCTGCTGAACTTCACATTTCCAACAAAAAAAAACCTGGTTGTCTTCTAAATTTTTATTAGGAAAGCCACCAAAATGGCTTTTTTTTTCCTCCTTTGACCTTAGTTTGTAAGTAGGTGGAGTGTAAAGCAAGTAGATGAAAGGTTTTAGCCATTCAGTTTAGATTAGGAAGTATGTTACTTATGAGTATGCTAGAAAGCACTTTCCACTTGTTCTTTGCTGCAACTTGGATATACATAATAGTTTCATATGTAATCTGGTATTTCTACATCTGGCGAGGTCAGCACACACTGTGAGAAGGTAATACTTTAAAGCATGGGAATACCCAGGATTACTTCTATTTCCTTGGGAAAACTACTTAGCAACTTTGAAAGCCTAAAAGAGAAAATACATGAATTTCTTAAGAGTAGGCTTGCCTTATTACTTTTGACAGAAACTGTTATAACTCCTTCTGTATATCTGAAACATGAAGATTTTGTAGTGGTTTTTGTTAGTGACTTTAAAATGCAAGGGCAAAACTTCACATTTGACATTGTGACTTGTGTCTGTAAACGTGTAGAGAATTATGCTTCAAACATAGTTTTGCAGTTTGATCCATTCTTCAGTGATGTGTAGCAAGAAATAAGGAAAAAAAATGAGTCCAAGTACCGTCAGAATAGTAGCCTTGATTTTTTTTCTTCTTGTATCTGTATACAAACACACGCATACATATACATACAATATATGAACACATATTTAATATGTGTATATATGTTACTTATATGTATTGTATTATATATATTTTATATATTTAATATTCGTTACAGAGGTTAAAATCAGACTTGAAAGCAGTAATGCTTTCAAAGAGTTCTCAGGTTATTGAATATATTACTGAATGACTATGAATTGGACCAAAACTTAGTGCATAGTAGCTCTAACTAAACTTGGGGAAGACTAGGGATCACTTTTTTTCCTTTTATTTTTTTTTTTAAATAAATAAGGCATCTGATCCATGTTTTTAAATAATCTTTTAGTTTATCACACTGATATGATCTAAAGGCACCTTTCTTTTACAATACTACACTGCAGAGGGCTTTTAATGCAATGTATGAGTAGAGCACTTGGTTATGATTTGGGGTTTTTGAAGTTTTTGCTTTGTGGTTTGTGAATTTTTTTCTAGACATGTGCAAGTTAACCATTCCTTTTTGGTTTTTTTAGGGACCTTTGTCGCCAGGATAAAGCATGTGAATATTACTTCAGCATAGATGCAGATGTTGTGCTGACAAACCCGAAAACTTTAAGAATATTGATGGAGCAGAACAGGTGTAGTATATCTCTTGATTTTACAGAATTTTCTCTAGCTTGAAAGGATTCTCTGGAGCCATACAGAGAAAGTAAGATCCTGCCTGTTCTTGCAGTTTGGTCCTCCTTGTTTACCCGTGGTATTTGATTACTATATTTCATAACTGGCTCAGAGGCCAACAATTCACAAAGCATTTTGTTCCTGTCAAACAGCAATTCCTGAATTTCAAATGCTTCAAAGTTTCTCTAAAGAGAATGGTATTGTGTAAGCAGGTTTTATGAAATGAGTTATGATTTCACTGACTAATGGTTTGGTTACCTGCAAAAGGATAACAAAAAAAAATAATCCAAACCCCAAACCAACCCCAAACAACAGCAACAAAAACACCCCAAAACAAAACCTAACAGAAACTCCTAGAGTTTGCTACTCTGGTATTACAGTATTATTGTTTTCTTTTTAAATCATAGATGCAATAAAATAGTGGAAATGTGTTGGAGATGAAGCAGGTGTTTCATCTTGTATCAGTATGATCACTTAAGGTGTACAAAGCTGTGACTTTATCATCAGTAGCTTTCAGTGGACTGGGCCCGCTGTGAAGGCTGTACACTTTACTCCTGCCAATTTTTAAATTCACATTTGAGGTAGGTAGGTGGTGTTTGCCTGTTCATAACGTGTCTGGGCATCTCAGGTCCATCACAGGAAGATAAGTGATCAATGTCTGTTTCATTCTACCAGTGACAAAGGCTGAAACTTAAGTAAAGATCTGGCTGACAATCATTTGCATTATATTCCTTGTAATTTTTACTGTTACAGAAAAAGGCTAAAAGACAGGTACACTAGGTGGAAGAAACAGAAGCTTTGCGAATTGTATCTACCAGTAGGCATCCTCTGAAGCAAAGCACCTTTTTATTCTGGTCAACTTAGATTTCCCCTTTTTACTCTTAGAAAGTTTTGGGTTAGCAGAGTGGGTGGTTTGTTTGTGTTGTTTGTTGTTTGGCTTGGTTTGGTTTTTTTTTTGTCTTGTTTTTTCTGCCTTTTTTTTTTAAACATGTCTCTGACTTTGGGATGCATTTTGCCTTATGGTGTAGGCAGTATTTTTTTGCTGAGTGAAAAATCAAGCCACCTCAAATTTATAGGGATCTTTGATCTTGTTGCATGATGTTGTCTCCAGGCAGTGGGTACTTGGATGCTGTTTCATCCAGCTTAAATTCAGAATAGCTTTTGCAAAATTTGACAGTCATTGGTGATTCAACTACACTGTACTCCAAACTGAGTAAAACTGGTATGTTTTAATGTTTCAGTCTGTGTGTAAATGTTCGTATTTTCTTATTCAATATGTTGCTTCACAGAAAGATAATTGCTCCACTTGTAACTCGTCATGGGAAGCTTTGGTCCAATTTCTGGGGTGCTTTGAGCCCAGATGGCTATTATGCTCGATCAGAAGATTATGTTGATATTGTCCAAGGGAACAGAGTGTAAGTAACTGTAAGCTGATTTTTAGAGTTAAGGTACCTAGTATGGTTGTTAGCAGCATATTCTTACGTTTTCATGCACTGTGGTATTCCTAAAGAGCTTAGGTTAGTTACATTGTTTAGTTTTTTCTATTTCATAGACATGTTTTCCCATTTGTTTTTCCCATTCATAACTTGAATAAAAAAGCAGTGTTCAAGCCAGACATAGTCATTGCTAGTACCTGTCTGACTGTGTTTGGTTATTGTAGCAGTGCATAATACAGAAAGTGACAAGACAAATAGCAAACCCAAACCCTTATATCCCAGGAGCCTCAGTCAAAAGCTATGATTGTTGCATTCATCAGATGACTTCTTCATCTCTTTGGGACAAGTGTTTAATCAACAGCTAGAATTTCTTCATGTTTCTTCCTGTATATTCTGTTAGAGACCAAGATGCTCATGAGAAATACTTTTGTCACGTAGCCTTTTGGGTTTGTCCTTCCCCTAAACAAATGTGATTTAAGTTGTTCTAAGCTTGCCTTTCCCATATGGTGATGCCTCTTCATTGCCCTGGAAGAACAAAAGGTCTGAAACAGATTGAGTGCTTGAATAGAACTAGTTCATTTTCAGTTACACTGAAAGATGTGCTCATGGCGCTGGGTGGGAAGAAATATGCAGAGTGAGCATCATGACAGCAATGCTTTTTTTGTTGTTATTGGCTCAACTCACATAAGTACGTGGCCTGCTATGGTCTGTGAGTATTTGTGTGAGGAGGTCAGACCAGCTATGTGAAGCCTCAGTGAAGTCTTTAAACTCATTTAAAAATCTGTTTTAGAATTGCTTTCTCCATTTGGTAGTGTAGAATAATATTACAAAAGAATTTTTGACTAATTGTCTTCACTTAGGAAACATGAAGTAAATTTGTAGTTAAAAAGCTATTCAGAGAATTTGAGCTTTCTATTTTTTATAACAGTACTTCATAAAGGTTGAATTACGCTTATGTTTGAGATGTTCACAATGTCCAGCTGTAATTTTTCAAATGTCTGGGGAACCTTTCAGCTTCATTTCCTTGAAAGTTGCTTATTCTTAGCAAATACAGAGATGCTGATTTGATAAATAGGCAATAACTTAGTTTTCATGGCTTTAAATTATCTGCCTTTTTTTTTTTTTTTTTTAGAGGAGTGTGGAATATTCCATATATGGCTAATATATACTTAATTAAGGGACAGACTCTCAGACTGGAGATGAAAGAAAAGAACTACTTTATGCGTGATAAGTTGGATCCTGATATGGCTCTCTGCAGGAACGCCAGGGAAATGGTAAGGTGTATCTGTGCATTTAAATACACACAGACTTCTTTGTGTCCTGCTATGTTTGACTGCTTCACTTGATTGATCTTGAATATTATATATTTACTTCTAATTCAAAGTACTAGCCAATTTTTGTGACATAGAATGCTGTGGGTGTGTTTCTTTTAAATTGTTGAGAACAGAGGTTTTTTGCAAGGCCAGTGCACTGGCTGCATAGTGGCTTTTAGTTAAATTCACTGGAAATTCCTGTTGAGGTTAAAATATTTTACTCATTGGCACAACCACAGCAGATGACTTCAGACTTATCAGTGCAGTTAGAGCATCTCTATTATGTTTTTATACAGTGTGAAACTTCTAGAAGACTGAAGTTGGAATGTTTTGCAATTTTACGTTTAAGTAGATACATATTTAAACTAATTATGGGCAGTGCTGATATTAAAAGCCTTAAGTGATTTAAGAAATGTTAGGAATCTTTTTGGGAGCATGAATTGCTCATTACTTTTCCCAGATAGATTAAAACTGTATTGGAAATTTGTTACTTGCATTAAGCTGTAAGCAGTGAGAGAAAACTTACTTGTATTGTAAAATATGTGAATTTACATGTTCATATTCTACTGATATTTACACTAGTTTCAGCACAGAAACAAATTTAAGACCTAAACCAGACCTATTTCCAGACAGTATAACATTGAAAAATAATTTTGCTGAGTTGAACAAGAAAAGTTGGCAAGTATTAATTTTTTTATTCCCCCATAACAAGGCATGATCTCCTTTGTTTGTACTGATTCTTCAGAACATCCCCATCCAGTTCTGTTGTATTCAAACCTTTTCAGCATCAGTTATTGCAAACCTGTGCTTCCTATGCGCTCGTTAAACTAATCTGACTGGCTCATCAGAATATTGCTTTCTCTTTCCTCTTTCTCAGTCTGTGCTGCAAGATGGTCTGGTATGTGCTTGGTTTTGTATTGCAGCAGATAAGAAGGGGCTGGTGGAAACAGCTTTGACATGTGGATTATGAGCTTTGCTTGGAGATGCATGTTGTCTGTAAAGGCATATCAGCTTTAGATCAAAGGCTGCTATTTCCCTTATGTAACTGTGGAAACTTAATAGTAGTCAGAAAAAGAGAGAGAGATTATGTAACGAAAAACTGATGTGATAATTCTCCTTCATTTTAGAGTTTACAAAGGGAAAAAGACTCCCCTTCTTCGGAAACATTCCATATGCTCAGACCCCCAAAGGTGTTGCTTTACTTTTTATTCATTAGTTACTATTATGTGCAGTATTATCCTACCACAGGAAGATACTTCTCCTCTGTCCACTTACTTTAATGAAATACTGCTATAGCTTTCTCTTCAGTCTTCTAAGATTCAAGTTTTTGCCAGGAACAGGTTCTTCACGACCAGCTCAAAGAATCTTAGACAGGCTTCTTGTTTCCTCAGGGAGGTTTCTCAGTGCTCCTGAGCTCAAGGTGTGCCAAAGCTATGCTTCCATAGCTAAAATTGATTTAATATTCCTAGGAAGAACTAAAGCTCAAATCACTAGCAGTTCTGCCAGGCTCTCTCTGTCCTTTACAGTTCAGTGACTGCACAGTCACTTTAAGCTGTTTTTCTTGACCCAGACCCTCCTTATTCTCCCTGCTGCTGCAGCTATTTTATGATTTTGTAAGTGCCCAAAACTGGGCATGAGTTTAACATAATAATTATCTTTCTAACAGTTTAACTGTTTTTCAGATGAAAACATAGACAGGAATACCAGTCTTCATCTGCTGCAAATACAAAAGTCACAAATACTTCAGAAATGAAGTGTTAGTCTGAAAAACAGTAAACTAAAAAAAATCCCACCAAACCTAAGTTTCTTTTAAAAAAGACTATTTCCTGCTACTATTTCTAATCAAGTTAGTTTTCTTAGTATCTTCTCTTAATAGCTTGATAATAAATATGTATCTTACCATATTTGATATCTTGCAAATATTTTGCAATGTTTTCTTAGGTGCTCATACTTGGAAGTGCTCAGCTGTTTTGTACTCCTATTCTTATATGCTGTATTTGCCAATTATCTTTTTATTTCAGGCCAGTTCACCAGAAGGATTGTGTAGTGAACACTCTGAAATAAATTTATTGTTCTGACTTCCATTAGCCCTTTTATTGTTAGCTTGTTCTTTCAGTTTTTGACCAGAAACTAAACCCTAGATGCTGTTTTTCTTGTATGAGTATTTTCAGTTTGAGAACAGGTGCCTCCAGTATGTCTGGATAGGTTTTTCTGGAAAACAAATCATCTCATCACTTCTCTTATTTTTTCCTTTCTGTAACTGTATGTAGATTTATGGTATGAACAATATCTGTTTTGGTTTAATGTGCTTACAAAATAAATTCGTGTGCTTGTAAAGAAGAAATTATGAACATTAGTTGGTGATTATAATTAACTATTTGAAAATTAAAGATGTTAAATGAACAGTATGCGTATAATGTGCATGTACAGGTATGTGATAGAGTTCATGAAAGTGCAATCATAAGCAAACTTCTTTTAAAACATCATTTGTGCCAAGATGGACAGTCTTGCTAATGACATTTTCTCTACTTGGTAGGGTGTTTTCATGTACATTACCAACAGACATGAATTTGGAAGACTTATTTCGACAGCCAATTACAATACTTCCCACTACAACAACGACCTTTGGCAGATATTCGAAAATCCTGTGGTACGCATCTTATAATTGATGAAACAGTTATTTTGTTTGAAAAATTGTAAAGTTTGTGTATTATAAAGGACTTGGGATTTAAAGACTACATGGAGAATATTTGTTTCTTATGCACTTAATATTGGTTGTATACTAAAAGGTGTTCTCTACCGCCTATTTGAGCAAATGACAATATATCATATGAACAAGCCAACTGATGACAAGTGTAAGGAGTTGGAGATACGGCTCTAATGTAATTTCATGATTTTTGACATGATGAGAGCCAGTTCATTTATGGCTGTAAGAAATTGTTTAATTGTTTTGAATGATTTCAGTAGAGCAAATGAATAGAATATGAATTTGGTTTTGTCATTTATGATTTAATCTATTCTGTTTTTAATGTTTTAATATTATGCGTTTTAGGACTGGAAGGAAACCTATATAAATCCCAACTACTCAAAGATATTCACTGATAATATAGTAGAACAGGTGGGTATAAATAGTTCTCTTAAAATTTGTGGGCCTGACTGATAGTAAGTTGCCATACAGTATTTCGATGTAGATTCTTTTTTGGTCTTGTGGCTGAACAGCTTTTTGTATTGGAAAGTAGCTTTTGCCATTTTGAAAATTAGATGAGGCTAGTCCAAAAAATAATTAGTAGTAGTTGTGGAAGTAATTGCCTTCTCCAAAATACAGATATACTTAGCTTATTTATTTGAACTAGTTAGTACCACTAGCAGAAGGCCTAATAAAATGTCTGTAGCACATAGCTGTGTTTTCTGGTGTCCGGTAAAGAAAAGTTCATCTAGATTCTTCCCTTGGGGTTTGCCTTTCCCTATGGATTTCTAAGGTCTGACAACCAGGAATATAAGGTAAAGCCTTTTGATGGCTTTTTTTTCTTTTTTTAACTCTCTTTGCTGCTTGTTTCTTGTTTTCATGCAACTGATCTGGACAGAGCCCTTCTAAGATGGCAATTGTTGTACTGATGCTGGATGATCTGTTCTGTGTCAATTAGGTGATTTATTGAATTTTGCTTTCTTAAAAAGCTGTGATAAATTGGTTTTGTATTTAAAGCAATGTTGAGTTTTAAACTTTTTTTTAATAGCTTGTAAATGTAGATCAGGGTTGTTACTTAGGGCAACCAAGGCACAGAATATCTGGGTACACTGATACAGCTGTTAATATTGGGTCATGGCTTACAAGATAGCTCATAGTTTTTTATTCATTCTGTGAGAATGTGATTGTGGATCAAGGTAAAATGTAATTATTTGAATGTATCTCAGTTATGATTTGAATGAGAACACCTGGTATTCTCTAAGAAATAAGAAAAGTGAAGATGTCCTTTTTTTTTTAGCAGCTAAAAACTAAAAGCTGTTAAAGCTTAACTCCACTGAAAATATGAATGTAGTTAAAAAAAAAGATATTTTTTTTTTCGTTTGCAGCCATGTCCAGATGTGTTTTGGTTTCCTATATTTTCTGACACTGCCTGTGATGAATTGGTAGAAGAAATGGAACATTTTGGACAGTGGTCTGGTGGAAGACACCAAGTAAGTAACACTGGAACGGATTGTCCATGGAGGTTCTGAATGCTCCATCCGTGGCGGTGTTCAGGGCCAGGTTGGACAAAGCCTTGGGTGACATGGTTTAGTGTGAGGTGTCCCTGCCCATGGCGGGGGGTTGGAATTAGATGATCTTAAGGTCCTTTCAAACCCAAACTATTCTATGATTCTAAGTGTCACCCTATATATGCATGACCCTAATTAGTGAATACCTTTATAACAATAAGTTTACAGTTCACAGTGTACCGCAACAAGCAAGCGTTTCAAGAATTGCCAATGACCCAAGACATCTCCTTCATGGTGTACAGTGTGTATTTTAGTTTACCATGTAGCTTCTTGTTCAGTAGATTTAGAGGGATTCCTCAATGAACCCTGTTGTGGCTTGACCGTGGCTGGACATCAGGTCCCTCAGAAAGCTGCTCTGTCACTCCCCTCCTCAGGTGGACAGGGGAGAGAAAATACAACAAAAGTCTCGTGAGTCAAGATAAGGGCAGGGAGACATCATTCACCAGATGCTGTCACAAGCCAAACAGACTTGACTTGGGGGAATCAGTTTAATTTATTACTGATATAATCAGAGTAGGATAATGAGAAATAAAACCAAAGCTTAAAAACACCTTTCGCCCACCCCTCCCTTCTTTCCAGGTTTAACTTTCCTCCTGTGTTCTCTGCTTCCTCCCTGCCAGTGGTGCAGGGGGACAGGGAATGAGGGTTGTGGCCAGTTCATCATCATCTCTGTTGCTGCTTCCTCCTCTGGGGAGGGCTCCTCACGCTCTTCCCCTGCTCCAGTGTGGGGTCCCTCCCACAGCAGACAGTCCTCCATGAAGTTCTGCAACCTGAGTCCTTCCCACAGGCCACAGTTCTTCATGAACTGTTCCACCATGGGTCCCTTCCATGGGGTACATCCTTCAGGAACAGACTGCTCCACCATGGGCCCCTGTGGGGTCACAAGTTCTGCAGCAAACATGCACCAGCGTGGGCTCCTCTCTCCACAGGGCCACAGGTCCTGCCAGGAGCCTGCTCCAGCGCAGGCATCCCATGGGGTCACAGACTCCTTTGGGCATCCCCCTGCTCTGGTATGGGGTCCACCCTGAGCTGCAGGTGAATCTCTGCTCCACCATGGATCTCCATGGGCTGCAGGGGGACAGCCTGCCTCACCATCGGCTGCAGGCAAGCTCTGCCTAACTCTGGGATCACCTCCCCTCCTTCACTGACCTCGGTGTCTGCAGAGCTGTTTCTTTCACATTCTTACTTCTTTCCTCAGCTGCAGTTGTTGTTGCACTGTCCTGTTACTCCCCAGCCTAACCTGAGGTGCTATCACTGTCTCTGATGGGCTTGGTCTTGGCTAGCGGCAGGTCCATCTTGAAGCCAGCTGGCTTTGTCTCTGTTGGACATATGGGAAGCTTCTAGCAGATTCACACAGAAGCCACTAATATAGTCCTCCCCTGCTGCAAATACTTTGACATGCAAACCCAATACAGACCTTGGGTCAAAAAACCCAATACAGACCAAATTCAGACACTGACTGTGCATTTGCTGTAGTAGTTATCTGACAGTTATCCAAGGCTGATCTTTAATAGATGTCCAGCAAAGTTTTGCTTGTTTACCTCTTAAGTACTAATTTGTCACAGTCGTCCCCCTGTGTTTGCAGAATGTTCAAGGTACTCATTAACTATGGCTGAAATTGGAGGAATGTTTGTTGTATTCGCAAATGTGGTACCTTGGAAATGAGATAAATAACATTCATTATTTTACTGCAAAGAGGAGCCTCCAGAAAGCATTTTAACATACTTTTATCTTCAAGTTATAGTTATTTATTACACTGTCAAGTTGAGGCCTGTACTGTCTTGATCTCTGATATAACTTCAGTTATATCAGAGATCAAGACATCTATATCTCAATAAATAATATCATTACCTTAGGAGGCCCTTATTTACAGGGAACATATCCCAGTATTGACTCACCTTTTAAAAACTTCCAATTTTTGTTCATTCATAGCTCAGCATTTTTTTTCCACAGTTGTTGGCTGTTAAATTACTGTACAGCAAGCTCACATATGCCAGCTAAAGCATTGCTTTGTTGCAGTTTTCAAATAAATTTTGTGGAAGTGCCGGAAGCATTCCGTTTCCATATTTCAAGGTTATTTATGGTGTTTTCATTAGGACAGCCGTATTTCTGGAGGTTATGAAAATGTCCCAACTGATGATATTCATATGAAGCAAATTGGACTGGATAATGAATGGCTGCATTTCATAAGAGAGTTCATTGCACCTGTAACCCTGAAAGTGTTCGCTGGCTATTATACCAAGGTATGGGTTTAAAACTTATATAGGTAATTACTGGATGGCATGGCTGATTCTAATATATTATTGAATATGCGCTATTTGGTTTGGTTGGGGAGTTCATGCATGATGAAGTAGCAGTTATAGATGAATGTTGTGTTATAAATTCAGTTTTAAACAAAAAAACAACTCAAGAACTGTCTATGTGATGCAGAAGTTCACATGTTGAAGTCTGACTCTGTTTTGTTTCAGGGGTTTGCTTTACTGAATTTTGTTGTAAAATATAGCCCTGACAGACAGCGGTCACTCAGACCTCATCATGACTCATCTACATTCACAATCAACATCGCTCTCAACAAAGTAGGCGAGGACTTCCAGGTAAGTTGACAATTTATTGACTTAAAAAAGATATCCTTTGAGTGTTTAATATAATTTCAAAACTAGAGCCCAAAAGGATATACTTAAAGACCAAGTTGAAAAGGAAAAGATGTGTATCACTAATTGAGATACTCCTTGTTGTTTTTTGATAAGTACTAAATTTGCTCAATTGCAGGATCCAGAGCTGTTGATGCAGTCAGGCTGAATCGGTCAAAATGATTTCAGATGGTGAAGGAGAAGGGATTTAAAGAAAAACTTTGGAGATGTTAACCATTTCATTTTTAACATTTCTGACATGCTTCTGTACAGTGAAAACTAATTTTTCAAAACACTTTAGTCCCAAATTGACTCAAATAGCTTTTCTTTACAGCTTTCTAAATGATTCTCTTTTAAGATCAGCCACATAATGAAAATGTTCATTTGTTGTTCCTGTTTTTCTGTTTGAGGTTTTTTCCTGAGATATGAATTATTTTCTACTCTGATTCAAGTAAACAGGCAGGGCAGTGGCATTAATATCCAGCTTTGACTAGTAGAGAAACTTAACCTGTTTTGTTTATAAACCTGTATTGTTCACAGTCCTACTTAAGGCCCATAAATGTGTTTGTCAAACATTACTTTAGAAAACACACTTCAGTTTGAAAGCAATAGCCAGGTTAATTTATTTAAGATTTGTTTAAACGCTCTCCAGGATAGGATTGCAGTCCTGGAACAAGGCCTGTGAACATGATTTGCTTGTTTCTGGTATCATCTACAGTGAAGTTACTGAAGATCTGTTTGCCAGAGTTGCTGCTTGCAGAAGTTTTATCCGGAGAATACTAAAACAAAGCAAGGGAAATTGATTTTAAATGCATGTCTGTTATGTATTGCTCTGAAGATGGTGTCATTTAACAGCCTTGCTAGTAGGGATAGTAAAAAAAATAAATAATTGTTAGCAGCCTGTTAATAATAGCAAAATGTTTCAAGTTATGGATAAATAAAAAGGAACTTTATTAAAACACAAAGTAAATGTTTGGGGTTTTGTTTTGTTTCTATTTTTACTACAGGGAGGTGGATGTAAATTTCTTAGGTACAACTGCTCCATTGAGTCTCCCAGGAAAGGATGGAGTTTCATGCATCCCGGAAGACTTACTCATTTGCATGAAGGACTTCCTATCTTGAATGGCACAAGATACATTGCAGTATCATTTATTGATCCTTAATTTTTTTTTTGCCCTCTTCAACGGCAGTGTTTGAGTCTCTACATAAACATTTATTTATAGATTTCTTCTGGAAGATGGTGATAAGAGAAACTGTTTCTGTTCCTGGCCAACAAAGTTACTTTGGGCTGAAAGAATGAAAAAAAAAGAAAATGTTCCAAAATGTTTTGAAGATCTCTCAGTATCTGCTCTGAGCCTTGAGTTACAAAGTAAACATGTCCTGCTTGGTTTTCCATTCTGCTGTCTTAAAAAGTAGGTAAGGAGGGAAAATGGAAAAACATTTTATAATGAATCCATTTCTTTGTTTAAAAACCCCTATAAACTGTAATACAAAATTATCTGAAAAAAAAATTATTGTGGTTTTCATTCAGTAAATTAATACAGCTAAAGTTTTTGTGGTGTATATGTTTGGTGCCAACCCATTAAAAACCAATATCAAGTGAATCTTGTATGCAGTTGTTGGGGATAAGCAATAATGTCATATGCTGGTACATATTGAAGGGAAAGTATCAGTAAGCCCATTTTCTTAATTCATTTTCAATACTGAATTTAATACCTTTACATGAAAAAATAAATTAATTGTGTAGATGGAGCAAGGATTAAATAATTTAGCTAAGAAAACATGGTTTATCTTTTGGTTTGCGAACTCATCATGTTGAAAATTTACTTATCTTCACCAAGTGACCTTCATTTAAAATGAATTATTTTTCTAAAGGTATAATTGCACCCAACTGATACTGAAATTTAATGTTTATTTTAAGAAAGTTGCTTAAAATTTAATAATAGGATGTTTTATGAAGACAATTTTCTACTCTTACTTAAAATTACTTGAATTTTCTATCAGGAAAATGAAATTGTTGCAGTCTCTTTTAAAGCTAAGGGTCTTAACTTGCCATTTATTTTAAAGAAATTGGTTTAAGATATTCCTACTGTATCTACTGTTTGTAATTTAAAGAAACTTGAAGCTGACTGTCTCAAAGTCTACTGTGCCAAGAGGCACAGCGTGTTGAAAAAACTTGTGAAAAATAAAGGGTAATTTAAAATTAATATAACAGCTTTTGCTTTATTAGGTATTTTTTATTATTTTGCTGTATTAGGTAGTTTCTTTGGATGTTGCCATTGTTACAGAAATAATATTTACTGATGAATATTTTTTAAGGCGATGTCGATACATTTATATTGGAGGTTTCTCTAAGTGTCAGTTTTTGGTTTATTTGCTGTGTTACTTGAATTTTTTCTTACGTGAGTTTGTGCCTGCATACCAAACCTTGCATTACACTTTCAAAATGACTTCAGCAGGATGAATGCTTCTTGTTTTCTATACCAGCCTTGCTTTTTCACATAGAGGCTTTTTGATGATCAGAACAGTAATTTACTTTTTACCTGCTAACAGTTGAAGAAGCTTTGTATCGCATCCACTAAAAAGAAGCTTTATTTGGAGCTGGAAGGATTGGGAGCAGAGTTCAGATATTATTCTTTTACCATAAATAAGTGTCTACATGTATCCCTGTTATGCTGTTTTGCGGAATGGTTTGTAATTATACTTGAAATTATGCTGAAGTAAATGCATCAAAATGCAGTAACTTCAGTAATTTACTAAAATGGGCTGGCTTGAAAAATATTGGCTTTTAACAGGAAGTTGCTTTGTTTAATTTCTGTTTACTGTCAGCTTTTCTCTGTTTCAGGCTAATATTTGGAGATTGATATCCCTTGTCTTTGCAGACATAGAACATCTCTGTCTTAGTGGATGTCTCTCTCTATACTGCCTATGGTTAGGTAAAATTTATGAATAACAAGATCTTCAGGCCTTCAGAATGAATGTGACCTTTGTTAATCCCTTTTTTCTGAGCATTTGCCTTTGATCTCTTAGGCTAACTTGGAACAGAACAATATTTTAGTTTACTGTTATGAGGCGCTTTCTTGGGGAAAAACTCCACAGAAATACAATCCTGTAGCACACGGGAAGTTCTTTTGCATATTGTTTCCTCCCTCCCCCTGCCATCAATACCTTCCTGATGAAGATATCTACATCAGGAAGAAAGCAACAGCCTTAATTCCAGCAGCGTATTGAGAAACCTCAAGAGTACAAGGCTATAAAGGTGCTTTACAACAGATGAGATGTTTTTAAAGTATTTGATTTGTTCCACTTTCATCTAGCTTTATTATTCACTGTTAAGTACTTGAAGAGACTGTGGTGTGGGTAAGAGGTGGAAGAGCAGTATATGGCCAAAAGATTCCTTAATAGTTTTTACCAAAAGGAGACTGAGTATAGCTCGGTTTTATTTCTTATCCATGAACCATTCCAACTCTACTACTAAACAATGTTCAGAGTATTTGGTAGGTTTTACACATTTCATCTTCTTTAACATCACTGTGCAACAAATAATTCCGATATATATTTGTCACTTCATTTCGGATAAAACTATGACAAACCCCAAAAGATTTATTTTCAGTGAGGCAATAATAATGAAATGTGTTTGATTATGCTTTTTTCTTTTGTAATGGATTTCCCCCCAGATCTACTTTATTTGTTAAATAAACGTTAATTGAATGCAGAACCTCCACAACAGTTTCTCTTTTGCAGTATGAAAGCCATAAGGAGACCATGACATTTAAAGAGATGGAAAAGTCTAGAAAGGACCCTTGTAATTCCTTCTTCCCATGTGCAAGTACAAGTTTTATTTTGTTATTCTGCTTAAAAGGATTTGTTCAGATTTTTCTTTTCAGCTACCGTAATAAGCTTTTTAAAGAATATATACATTTCAGTTTCCTTTGATTTGTTTCTGATGTGGTCTTCAGTGGATTCAGTTCTGAAAGAAGTATTTTTTGAATCTTCACTTCCCTTGAATCCTCACTTTCTTGCATGGCAGAGTAGACTGGTCTGCTCTTTTTGTGAGTGAAAGGGACAGTGCCTGTCTCAGCAGCCCCCTGTGACTACGGTGTCAGATAAATTACTTGACTGCAGTTGGGTTTTTTAGTTACGGATTTATTTTTTTTTATTCCATGAATTAGAGGGCAGAGCCCTTATAAAATGCATTTGTAGAATTGATAGCTCTAAGAGCTGAGATTTGCGCTAGTAGAGTTAACAGCAGGGTTGCAGGAATAAGGAATTGATTTATGACTGCCAGGAAGTCACAGCTGTTCTGTTTCTTCCCTCTAGCTTGTGCCAAGAAAGATGGTCTCTGACAGAAAGTTAGTTTCCAGCCAACACTAAAACTGAAATGAGAACTGATGGTGCAGGATTTTGTTGTACCCATATGGTAGAAGTGTCACTACAAATGACTTTCCAACATGCCTTCCCAAGTACTTTCTTTGTCTTAATATAAAAAGTTATTCTGAATGTAATGAAGCAGATAGTCTTGCTCAGCAGTACTGAAGAACCTTGTTCTTGTGTACTATTCAATCTTTAAACACAACTGGAAACAGATGCGTCTATCTTCAGCTAAACATTATATTTGCTAGTTGTATTTTTTTTCTTTCTGTAATTATCTTCCCATTTGTAGATTTGTAGAAATACATCCCCCTTACAGGATGATGGCTGTCTTTTAATACATTTCATGGCTGAAGGGGGAGGGTGAAATGAGGAAGGGGCTGTGTCAAAGCTCAGGAGAGTTTGGGAGCTGGACTGAGACAGGAATCATAGCACCATAGGGTTAGGATTGCAGAGGACTTAAGACCATCTGGTTCCAACCCCCAGCCATGGGCAGGGACGCCTCACACTAGACCATGTCACCCAAGGCTCTCTGCCACCTGGCCTTGAACACTGCCAGGGATGGAGCATTTAGCATTTCTTTAGGAAACCTGTTCCAGTGCCTCACCACCCTCACAGTAGAATCTTAGAACCGTAGAATACCTAGTGTTGGCAATGACCTTAAGATCATCTAGTTCCAACCCCCCTGCCATGGGCAGGGACACCTCACACTAAACCATGTCACCCAAGGCTCTCTCCAACCTGGCCTTGAACACTGCCAGGGATGGAGCATTCACAACTTCCTTGGGCAATCCATTCCAGTGCCTCACCACCCTGACAGGAAAGAATTTCCTCCTTAGATCCAATCTAAACTTCCCCTGTTTAAGTTTTAACCCGTTACCCCTTGTCCTGTCACTACAGTTCCTAATGAAGAGTCCCTCCCCAGCATCCCTATAGCCCCCCTTCAGATACTGGAAGGCTGCTATGAGGTCTCCACACAGCCTTCTCTTCTCCAGGCTGAACAGCCCCAACTTTCTCATCCTGTCTTCATACAGGAGGTGCTCCAGTCCCCTGATCATCCTCATGGCCCTCCTCTGGACTTGTTCCAACAGTTCCATGTCCTTTTTATGTTGAAGACACCAGAGCTGCACACAATACTCCAAGTGAGGTCTCACGAGGGCAGAGTAGAGGGGCAGGATCACCTCCTTCGACCTGCTGGTCACGCTCCTTTTGATGCAGCCCAGGATATGGTTGGCTTTCTGGGCTGTGAGCGCACACCGCCAGCTCATGTTAGTTTCTTGTCAGTCAACACCCCCAGCTTCTTCTCTGCAGGGCTGCTCTGAATCTCTTCTCTGCCCAGCCTGTAGCTGCTCCTGGGATTGCCTCGGCCCAGGTTTAAGACCTTGCACTTTACTTCAACAACTCATCCCACTGTCCATGTCATCTACAAAGATGTTGAACAGGATTGGTTCCAACACTGACCCCTGAGGGACACCGCTCATCACTGGTCTCCATGTGGACACTGGGCTGTTGAAGCTTCACTTCAGAAGAGCTGTTTTGGCAGTGTTTAAAGCTATGCACCTCGGGATTATTTTGCACATGAATCAAATACAAGGTCAGCGATCTGATAAAAGCATTTTTGTTTTAAGATATTTCATAGAGTAAGGCAACAGTTCAAAAGCAGGATTTCAGTCAGCATGGTTACAGCCTTTATTGGCATCAATGCAACTTTAGAAGTAGCAAAGCTGAGAGCCTGGCCAGCGTGGAGGATATTTGCCATATTGTAGGCAGGGTTTGGGGCGATGCCACAGCACCTTTACAGTTAAGAAAACTGAATTTTCTTGGAAAAAAATCTCTTGTGTTTTGGGTTCTGAATGTTGTTCCCTTTGCGCTTGCCTGCACTACTTACTACTGGTTTACAGCTGTTGAATGTCTCAGGGTGCCTGAAGTTGGCAAGGAAGGTGCATAGTTGCATAGTAACAGATTTATTCAGGATCTAGTGTTTTGGCTTGAAACTAGAATTCTTCGATTTCCAAGAATTTTGCTTACTTGTGAAAAGAGTTGCTCAGCTAGTAATTGCTTTACACCATTTTGTTTCTGTACTCTTGGGAGTGAGGAGTAGAGAGGAGGAAGGTAGCAAAGCAAATTTAGTATAAGCCTCTTACTTCAAAATCTGTAGTACAGGCAGGGCATGAAAACATAGCATTTTCACAGTCTCATTTGGAATGCAGTTAATTTGAGCAATACTTTATGCTTTTGAGACTGTTTATCATCCTTAATACCTTAAGATATCATGACTTACCCTTCAGAGTGTGTTTGACTAATACTTAAGGCTTTAAGCTTTCTCTTACTTGGGTTGCTAATCTCTCATAACATGCAGTCATCCACTGGTAGTGTGTGAAAAGGTTTTCAACCTCACTGTTTTCCATTTTGTTTATGAAGTGGTAATTTCCCATTTTCAATGAAAGGATATTCTTCCATGCATATAAAGTGCTTTCACACTGTGTGCATACAGTGTGTGCATACACACATTTTCTGGGTGTGTAATAGCAACAGAACTAGCAGAATAACTGCTCAGGTCTTTGTTCCTTAAAGTAGCTTTATGGCTGATAACAGTTGTTACTCTATTGCAAGGGGAAGGTGCGTCCAACTGCTGCTGTTAATATGAGAAGGATAGGTCTTTGTCCATCTTTTTGTGGCAGCAGTGAGGATGTAGAGATGGAGTTGGTGAGGGCAGCTGTATCCTGCTCCAGTCACAGGTTGCACTCACCACACTGATTATGGAGAAATTTGGGGTTTGCTGTAGTTGGATCCAACTTTTTGCCTCCAGGATGTGTGTAAAAGAGCTTGGAGAAGATAGAGTGTGTTTTGTAAGGGTGAACTCCTCTGGTATTTTAGCTCCTGAATTCTAGCAAGTCTCTGAGCTTACAGGAAATGAGGATTTGGGGGGATTTAACTACCCCCCCCCCCCCCCCGAAGGACTTTTGACTTGGACATGGTGGTAAGTGAAAGCATTTCTGTAAGATTTGGTGTCCCTTAATGAGTTTCAAGTGCCAGAAGTGCAAGGTCATTGCATCATTTTAAGAATCGTTCTCTAGCATAACC